TGTTTCAGAGGTTTTCTAAGATGATGAGGCAGGTAGCCTTTGCAACCTCAATGTAAAACACTGTTGAAGGCAGTCAGTTACTGTCTTACAATTAGGATATCTTTCCTAATAACACCTAGCTTTCAGTACACTATGATCACATGCACAGTTCCCTGTTGCTGTATTGTGCACCTGTTCTGTTTGCAAGTTTTTAATATATCTTTACAACACCACTGATTGTAGTATATGCTGTACAAGCATTAAGGCATTTTTTCTTTTCATTTATTTTCCAAGATATCCAAAGATATGAGAACTCCAAAAAATACTATAATCTTTAGTCTTCAGCTTAAATTTCTGCATTCTCTCTTATATACCAAAAGATGGAGACAGTCTTATTTTTTTAACTTTTCTTTTTTTAATTTCCCAATGTTTTCCAATAGCACATGCTTATAAAAAACATTTCTACTTGTTTCGGTGTGTTCCTTGGAGCACACAGAGCTGCTTTGTTTCAGTCTCCTGCAAAATGCAGATGAATTGATAAAAACAAGTGCTATAGCAGTAAGTGTGAAGTGAAGCAAAAAATAACTTTTTAACCACATGCTGGCAGGGAGAAGTAGTGCCCAGCCAATGTGTTCATCCTTTCCTGTTTTTGAAAGAAAACATTTGTATTTCTTGGTGTTGTCTCTATTTATAGAGGATGCAGTTGTTATTTGCTACAGACCATACACAGCTAAAGTATCCTAACTCAATTTATTCACTTCTCTTGTCTAAGTTGGTCTTTATGGTGCCATTTATTGGGGATGATTTGTGGTGATCTATTTTTCATCAGTAAAGAACCAGGTGTTAGGCTTTGTTCTGCATTTTGGCTTATGTTTATATCCGTCTTTTTAGGAAAATAAGGGTGCCAATTCTATGTTTGTAAGGTTTGAGTGGCCAACCAGGCAATATGCTTGTGAACAAGTCCCAGAAAAATCTGGTTTTGCATGGTTTGGAGGCAGAGTAACTATCCAGACAGCACAAACGTTTAGTTAAAAGAACTCATTAAATAAAACAGAAAAGAATTTATTAGTGGCTACTGGACAAGTATGAGCTACTGCTCCAGGTTTGTAATAGAAATAATATTTGTGTTGTCGTCTTGGTGACTGAGTGTTAACTTTTCACGTATAGGTACAAGCTGTGCTAAGCAAAGAATGGCACACGCATCAGCTCATGTTCCGCTCAGTGTAAGTCAGCAGTGAGAGGGACATTATCCCAGGTTTTTCTGCAATGCCTCATTTCTTGCAGAACATGAAGATGAAACTGGAACTTCAGTTTTAGCCTTTGAGAAACTTTTATACTTTGCGTTTCTGAACTGTGTCAGTCGATTTTGGTCTGTTCGCAGTCATTCTGTTGACACAACATTAAATAGTTCAAAATCCTTATTTACCTACATTACCAAATTTACCTACATTACCTACAAATACTATGTACCTTATGAATTTTTTTTTTATGCCTTAATTCCCACAGTTCTGAGGAGAATCCTCTCCAGCTTCCCTGTAGTTCTCCTTTTTCCAGTGCCTCTGCCAATACTCTTCTTAATACATATACAAGTTAGCCAGAAACAGTAGAGAATGCATGCCATCTTAGACAGAAACTGGAAGTTTGAAAGAGTTCAAGCTAGATATTATTAATAATATAATTTTCACAGTCACAATCAGTAATGTTTTTATATGTTCTGAATCATTAGCTCCTGTGTACAGTGTTTTCGCTACTAAAAAATCAAGTAAAGCATGAAAGCCAAGTTGCCATAAATCAGTGGATTATTGTTAGCTACATGTGCAATGTAGGTCACCGTAAACTCCACTTCTCCATTTACCATCTGCAGATTTGAACATCTCTTTGACTTGTAAGATTTCTTTTGCAGGATCTTTGGAAAATGCAGCAAGCTACCTTTAAATACATTAATTATTTGTAAGTTAATTTTATACTGTTTATCATGACCCTTTAATGCAAAAACATTATGCTTGTAATGTTTCAAAGCACATAGAGCACAAAGAAGGCCATGCAGTATATTTGCATATTAAAATATACCAAACAGTTTGTGAGTGAAGTCAAACTTCAAAGCATCTGGTTTCTGGCTAAGATAAAGGGAAATATGAGAGAGTAAGAGCGCAGCCATCAAGATCGTGTTTGGTCCAGTGTCATGTCCGCAGGAGTACATGTAAGCAGATAGCTACAGACAAAAAGTAACCACGTAGTCAAATGTTATGTTCCTCTTCCAGTTTCCAAGTATCTCCACTAAAGGGATTTCCTGAACCAGATGTGCATTCTGTGTGGGTTGTAAGCTGCAATGGTTTTGTCTTCCATTGAGTCATTCAGATCTCCATTAAGCTCATTACATTTAGCCTCCAAGGCTAAATAAGGCTGCCAACAAGGTCTTCAGGTTTGTTCTGCTGTGTGGAGTCACCACCTCAGTTTTATTTCTGACCAGTCTGGCCCATCTAGCTTCTTTTGGTTCGTCTAGCTTTATTTTTTTAAAAGAAAGCATTATTATTGTTGGTTCTAATTTGGCCTTACTCCTAAGCATGAGGATTTGGGTGGTTGGTAGTAAATAGCTGGCATTTTTTACTCATTTACTTACTAGCATTTCGTATTTTCAGCTGTTATGAGGATTAGAAACACATGCATTAAAATTAAGAGATTTGTGGATGTTACATAACCAATTCAGGAAACTTCAAAACCAAAATTTCCTGTAGTGAGTACAGAGTAAAAATCCATAGTTGTCAAAACTACATCCCTGTGATGAAACTCCTCATCTATCAGCAGATGATAAAATGATGGTGGAGGATATCATGGTGAAGTGAACAGAGTATAGGGTGCCCATGTAACCTTGGGCTGCTTCAGGATAAATCAAAGTCCAAAGGGCTGGTTATTTTATATCATGATATATGTTGAACATCATCATAAGGTGAGAAAGGGGAAAAGCATACTTCTAAGGACCTCTAGAAGGATGTTCTGTCCTTCTTAAAATGAACAGACCTCTGGAGATCATTGAGAGAGCAGTTGACATGGGTATATTTTGCTTCTACACTTCTTCTTGAACTAAATGATGAACGTAGTTACTTTAGCAGGTGACTCATTAGTACTGTTTCATTGTCCAGGAGGTAGATTGTGGGTGTAAATGACACAGTTCCAATCCCTTATATGCTGTGAAAAGTAATAATAGCAATTGGTATTACTCTTTTAGTAGTAAATTTGAGTTCTTACTGAAACCTAACAAAAGAACACTCGAACTAACAATAACTTGATTGAATTCCTAAGAATTGGGTTTGTTCATTTTAATTATACTGGAATGACTGAGAATATGGGAGGAAAATGCCTATTGCACATGGACAGACATAGCAGAATTTCTTTAAGCATACATGTTTAAGGGAGACAAATTTTTTTTCCAACTAATTATTTCCCATCAGGCTGTGAATGATTAATTTTTTCTTATCATTTGCAATGAATATTTTCTGAAGAACTAATCTCTGTTTTAGTTTTTTTTTCATTTCTTTATATTTCCTGACTCTGACTGGAGGAAGAAAAACTAAAATAACACAAATTAAACTTTTCCTTTTTTTGCTGTCCAGTGAAACTGGAAATACTTACCAAATGACAAATGGTCTACTGTGATAATTTTACTGCATTAAGCAGGAAATAAGATGCTGAGAGAGACAGATTAACATTGACCACTTGGGAGCTTAATTATAGTAACAAGCCTTCCATGAGAATTTTGTCAACTCAATAGTGAATAACACAGATGTGATTTAGCAACTGGAAATTATTTAGATGTTTTGACTTGTAGCAAGTGTTGGGTATTTGGGTTTTTTTATGTAACTGTTAAGTGTGAGCAAATGCTCATGAAATGCTTCTTGAAAATTAAATGAAATTTGTGTATATTTGTGGTTAAGCAGTTTTAATGTTCTACAAATTCACCTAATTTTTGACTCTTGTGAATTAAATATGCAGCTCTGCAGCAGCAGAGTCGGTGGTTACTTTTGAAACTGATTTACAGGACAAAGATGGAAGAGAGCACTATAAGAAATAGTAAACACAGAAGAGATAAATAGCCTTATTTTTATATATAATAGTGTGTTTTACTTCTTAATGGGCCTTGCAGTTATAGGTATCACTTCAAGCAGGATTTTTACCCTATATCTCAAATTTTCCTGAAACTTGCTAAACAGTCAAACTTTTGCAGTATATTCCTTGGTGATGATCATTGAACCTTAGGGTATGGGAAATCAGTCAGAAGAAGCATTCATGCTTTTGATTGATCTCCTCGTAGTCCAAGATCACCATTGTATAGCAACTTTTCTTAAATGCACAATTATCAGAGTTCTGCCAATAATCACATATAGATACTGTGTGTGATTAGCAAAAGATTGCATAGAAAATTAATTTTATTCTTTTCCAAATATAAATGGTTTACAGGAATTAAGAGAAAACCATATACTTCTTTTTCTCTAATATAGATTAAAATTAAATACATCTGAAAACTTTTCCTCATTCTTTTCCTATGTGGTTTTTCTTCAAAAATTTTCTGTTAAAAATTAGTTATTTCTCAATTTAAGTAACCTTTAGAACTAATTACTTGAATGAGGGAACACTTTGTATTAAATTCTTGCTTTAGAAATGAATGGAGGTAAAAGAATAACTAAATTGAACTAAATCAATAACTAAAAAGTTATTTATTCTTAAAGGTGATAAAGTTTTACTTCCTGCAGCTGGAATTGATTTTAAAATGAGTGATGGGAGTTTGAAAGATATGTTTGGACTACAGAAGCCCAGTTGCTAACAACTCTGAATTTAGTTACGTACCTATGTATGAAGAAATATGTTTTAAGTCTCTTACAAGCTGAGATACGTGTGCCCCAAATGCCACTTTCAACGTCTTGTGCCTTTCATTAAGTCATAATTGAATGTTTGTTTCTTAGAAGTATTTGGATTTATTTGTACTGCTACATACTAATTTTTTTTTTAAATACTTTTTTTTAAAGCTTTCTTTCATCTTGTTTGCACTTCAAATGTTGATGTGAAAAATGCACTGACCTTCAGTGGGCCTCTGGAAGACATGTTTGGGTACACAGTCCAACAGTATGAAAATGAGGAAGGGAAATGGTAAGCTCTTTTTCTTTTTTTTTTTTTTTTTTTTTAAACTGAACACTCCAAATTATCAGGTATGCAGTGACTCAGGTGCTGTACTTTTATTATCAAGTTAGGGTCAGACATATTTCTTAAACTTATGCACAGCCCTTAGGAAATCTGGAAAGACTGGGAGAGAAAAAGATCCACATGTATACCTCCAATTTTCTCCTCAGAGACATAAATGACTTCACAAAATGGGTAGATTCCCTCATTGATGGAACTGAGAAAGTACTGTGTTTTGCCTGAGCTATGTTTTTTCCATTCACCAAACAAAATCTTTACCTTTTCCATCTGTTAATGTATTTAAAATGAAATTACTTCTGCATTGAGTTGTTTTTTGGTTTTTTTTTCTGAAGTTTTCTGTCAGGGGTTGTCTAAACTGAATTTTTTAACTCTGTTGGTTGGAAGATTTACCTGTCAAAATATTAATTAGTACAGTACTCCCTCTGCCTTCCCTTTAGGAGGGCTAAGTATGTCTTGCAACTGGTATATATTTGCATTGGGAACCTGGAGTCTTTATCTTAACTCTCTTTTCCTTCCTCTTGTTCTAAGTAGAGGCTGTATTTTGGCATGCTCACTCATATCATTGCTTCTTGGTCATTTGATAAACACCTGCCTGTGCTTTTCCCTTGTTAAACCCCAGAGGCTGATGACTGGGCAGGAGGACTGAAATAACAATTGCATGGTAAAAGGTTTGGGGTAGAGATCTCTATCATTCTTTGCAGCTGGCTCTGGTTTTTCCAGAGCTTTTTTGACAATTCTTGGTAAATGCAGGGACTCCTGCAGGCATGCAGGAATGACAGGCAGCATGAGGCTGTGTGACAGATGGGCCAGACTGTTCTGTGGTGAGCAATCACCACTGCAAGTGCCGGGTCTGCCAGACTCTGAAAGTCTGATCACCATTGCAACACAGTGCTCAGAGAAATAAAACCACAGAGCCTGCTTTTGAATGTGCTAGTTCTTGACTGCTGCAATTGTAGGACGTTTAAATACACATTTGTATGAGGGTCGTGAGAGAATAAGAATAATGACCTTCTGTGAGCTAGTTTAGACCTTCAGGAAATGGAATCCATTTGACGAGCTGGGATTTTGCAAAGTAAGTTGTATTGTTGTAAGCAGTCCTGAAACCTTTCAAAAGCAAACAATAATATGAACTGGAAATACGGGATCTACCAGTAGCCAGACAGCAATATAAAGTAGTGTGCTAGATCTGGACATCTCTGAAATTGAAATTCAGAGCTCCTGTAAATTGTCAAGCTTTGAGCATCTCAGTATTTAGAGCAGAAAATATGTTAGCTAATAGTTAAAAATATACAAACCAGCCTTGAGGATTTTTCTGCCGCATCCTGTAGGGCACCGATAGAGCTTTCCAGCAGCAAATGGTCTCTGAACCTGACTGCAGCTTTTTCTAAATAACCTGTGGATTCCCTCATGCAAAAAGACAAAATGAAATAGCCTTTCAGACCACGTAACAGTCTTCATGGGGCTCTTTCTTTCTGAGAAAGGAACAGCACACGAGCATGAACTTGATGACCATTGATCATCTCCCAGGGGATGTCAGGCACACTCAGCTTCTCTGCATTTTACAATTCTGAAATTTCTTTTTATAACCCTTTGCTTTATTAGTGATAGGGAAGAACATCTCTTTTACAGTGCTGCTCCACATTACATAAGACTAAATTCTTCCTCTGAGTGCTTGTGAGACTCTCCTTTGGCATTTGGCCTCTGAGCATGGAAAAAAATTTTTCATCAAAGATCTTGTGAAGATCTAGGACATATTAAATAAAGCATATCTTTCCTTCTGTGTTACTTCTAAGACTTGTTGTCTACCCACCTGTATTGCTTTTATTTTCCTCTGGAATTTTTAAAAGTGTTATTCTATGCTGTAATTTGGTTTATAGGCAGATTTCATGTCCTTTTTATTTGTCTTGCATCTGGACTGGTATAAATAGATACTTTTCTTTTTCTCCATCCTATACTGCTAGTGTAGAGCTTGCTGCAGCTGTCCTCTGTAAATTTTATTTGCTCACTTTTGTGCCTTGTTAGAAAGGAGACATTCAGGTAACTTATTTAATTTGCAGGGTACTTATTGGTTCACCACTAGTTGGCCAACCTGAGAAAAGAACAGGCGATGTCTACAAATGCCCTGTAGGAAGGGACAGCCCATCACCCTGCACAAAACTGAACTTACCAGGTATGAAAGGAAATAAAGCTGTGTCACAGCCTTCCTAGTGAAAATTCGCTTGGAGCTCCAGAGCTAAATGTGAAGGAAGTTGTGTTTGTAGCATTAAAAATAATTCTATTTTAAGGCTTCTCACTGTCCTGTGGAAAACATGCTCATACTTTTAGAATGGATTTGTGGTTGTGTTATCAAAACTTTGTTATGACTGACATTAATTGACTGTGGTTGGCAGGCCTGGCCATTGAGCCAGGAAGGTCTTGGATCATAATTTCATGGATTACCCTTTCCAAAGCTCTCTGAAGCCAAGAGCCTTCATAATGCCATCAGTAAGCTTTTGATGAAAATGTAACTAGGCTGATGCAGCTTAATATGCCAAAGTTTAATATGAATAATTTTCTTGGTCAAGTCAAGAGATACCTGATGTAGACTGGAAGAAAATTCCTGTTTAATATGAACTTCACTAAATGTATCTGTAGTGATATTTTTTTATCTCCTTGTGTTCCTTGAAAACCTAAATGTCAGTAATGCAAGATAATAGTAAAAAATAGTTACGTAATAGTAACAAATAGAAAAGCTATTAACTCAGTCATAGCAAGACAAGGTAAAAAATGAAATTTTTTTTTCCTATTTAACAAAACTCTGTGCGTAGTAGTATCTTGTTTTCATTGTGCTGTTATTTTTACTTTTTTTCCTTTTCTTGCGGTTCAAGAAAACTATTTGAGACAGCAACCCAGACAAATTTTCTGGGATAAAAGCCAGTCTCAGAAATATTTCTTGATTGTTGCAGTTGAAGAAGGAGGGGGAAGGGTGCTAAAATATTTGATGAAACCAGTGTCAGTCTGGGTTTTATTTTAGAAGCTGGAAGCTCCATACTAGGGGATATATAATTTAGCATTTTGTTTTCATGTTCCCAAATACTTAACATTTTAATCTATTTATAGCTTCTACTTCAGTTCCTAATGTCGTGGAAGTAAAAGAAAACATGACTCTTGGAACAACCTTAGTGACTAACCCAAAAGGAGGGTTTCTGGTAAGAAAGGACTTTTTGCTAATTTTAAAAGTCTGTTTTTTTCTCGGATAGCGTAACAAAAACATTTCACCCTTTTTCATTTTTTAAAGGCATGTGGACCACTTTATGCTTATAAATGTGGACGTCTGCATTACACAACTGGAGTTTGTTCTAATGTCAGCTCCACTTTTGAAACCGTTGGGGCCATTGCTCCATCTGTGCAAGGTATGCATGCTGCAGGAATTTTCCCGTGTGTCCAAAAATAAAGAGTGCCAAACAAGACAAATGTATACACATAGGCATACTGAAAAAAATTAATTGCTTAACTTAGCTACCAGCATTACCAAGTTAAGTAAATGTTTTCATTGTCTGTATATAACCTAAATTCTTCCCACTTTTGGAATTTGTCTCAGTATAAACAATCATTACAGTGCTATGTAACATCCAAACACAATTGCTAAAAATAGTTGCTTATGTTTTTAACTTATGGCCAAAAGACTCCTTTTAAATAATGACAGCATACTGAGACCTAATACAAACCCAATTTAGTAATATACATAAAAATCTTAAAGAACTGGTCCTTTGAAAAAATTGTAGAGGAATAGATTGACATTGGCTAAAGTAGGGGGTCACTGGTAAATGCTCCAGTGATATGATCTTCTTCCTTTCTTAAATTTCTGCTTACAAGAAAACTCCTTCCTCACAAAGGGAACACAAGCCATGTGAAATACAATGCAAAAGTTGAAGAATGATAGTTGTCATCAAGCATGTCAGTTCAGCCACACTGCAGAACAATATGCATTTGTTACTAATGACAGAAGTCACAGCTGGAGCTGTGAGATAAATCTGATCCTTGTTACTGTAAATTCTTATGTGGCAATTTGTATTGCAGAGTGTAAAACCCAGTTGGACATTGTCATAGTCCTTGATGGGTCCAACAGCATCTATCCATGGGAGAGCGTCACAGGCTTTCTGAACAGCCTCCTGAGAAACATGGATATAGGTCCTCAGCAAACACAGGTAACTTGGTAGATATTTTATGGTTAATTTTGAGAAGAAAAAACAATTTACAGGAAATGGTGTAATAGTTTCATCTATGGACCTCTTCAATTCCAAGAACTTAGAGCAGCAGGATACTAAAGCGAAATAGCTGAAACCACAACTAAGTCAGTACTCAGCCATCAAGCAGCAATGTCAGGAAGACTATCCCTCCCCCCAGTGCTCAGGCAGTCTGGAGAAACCGACTTTCTAACCTAGAGACAAAAGTTAAGTGCATTAAGTAAGGCTGCTTGAACACTGTCCTTTCCCACTTCCTTCCTCTCCACAGCCCCTTCTTGTCTTCCTTTGTACTTCATTGCACAAAGGTCATTTCTGCTCTTCCGAGGCACACATGCGTGGTTTGGGCAGCTTTTGATTGTAAGCTTTTTGGAGCAGCGTTCTTAGTACTGTGGAACATTGGGCATGCAGCTTTTAAACCTTGAGATCCTCATTAACGAGTGGCTGTTTAGCTGCATGTTATTAATGGCAGAAGCTGCATTTATATAATAAGTGGAGAGGGCCAAATTCCCAGCTGCTATAAATCAATGCGGTTCCATCAGAATTAATGGAGCTATGACCAATTACCCCCTGAGGATCTGGCATATGTCCCACATGCTGCTTAACAGATTATGTAAATATCAGTTCTAAAAGAACTCTGGGAAGGGGAAAACAGTTGAGTCTGGGATACATATTAACACAAAAAGCTTTATTGACAGAAACAGAAGAAACTGTTTCTTCCTTTCCTTTCTCTATTTTCCGCCTCCCAAAATCAAGGGTTTTCCAGGGCCTCCTGTAATAAATTATATGCTACAGGCAGTTTTGCAACTTTGGGTTAGCTGCTAACATCCAGGTCCTGCCTTCACAAAGGAGACTGTGAGAAGATATAAAGGATATCTCTGTCTGCAGAGAGTTATGCATAATTTTCCATGTTAATTGAGGTTTTCAAATTACCACCCAAGTCCTCTGTTGTCTATACTGAACACTGACTGATAAAATAACTTATAAACTCTCAATGTTGCAATCATATCCTGTTATTTTAAACACACTCTTCTTCAAATATTGTGAGGAAGAAGGAAAAACCCTTTGTCAAATTCAGCAGAAAGGAAAAAATTCTTTCTGTTCCCTTAAACGGATGATTACTCAAACATGTATCATTTTGAAATACTTAAATCTGAACTTCCCTGTATGGGGCATTGGCTGCATGGAAATCATCACTGTCTCCTGCCTAAAGGTCTTCATGGGAGTGGTAAGCAGGGCAATCAACTCCACTGCACCCTCACTCCTCTTCCTTACCCAGCAACTCCTAAATTTTTACAATGCCACACCTCTGTTGTGTTCACTTTTGGAATACTGCCTCCTCTGTGTGGCTCAGCTGGCGCACAATAGGTCCCTCTCTGGCCTGCACTCCAGCAGCCTCCCATCTCCACCTACAAAATCCCTTGTGCCCACAGCTTGGCATAGCTACCCCTCTTCTCACACGTACACATATTCACTTGAGGACGTCAGCTTTGGCATCTGGCTGCTACAGAGCAGAAACATTTGAGAGGGAGATAAGAATGGGATAAGGAGGAGAGAGGCTGGAAAACTGGAAATTGACGACAGAAGCTCGGTGGAGTTTTCTCAATCCCTCTTATCTTCCTCCTTCCCCAGAACACATCTCATCTCTCTCCTCTCCTCTGAGCCCCCTGCTCAGGGACCGGCTGCATCTGAAGTTAGTAATGAGTTTATACTCTGTCCCCCACCCACTCTGTCTGCTTTCTCAGAAAAAATGTTTAAATAACTAACTATACAATAGGGAAGAGGAAAAACAACAGAGCAGACTTATTTATTCCCTCTCCTCTGGGAGCCCAGAAGACAAGCATAGGAAGAATAATTTGCTTTTTGTCTTTTCAAATTGATTTTTCCAATTTAACTTTTCATTACTTTGTATGTAGAAATCAGTGGACTTTCACTGACTTAAGATTGTTTTGCACAGGAAAGGAATGAGGTGATTACAGAATACCTCCTTAGCAGATTGGGTGTGACTTGTTCAAAACTGTGTTTTGACTAGAGGCTTTTGAGATTTTTTTCCCCCACATACCTCCTTAATGAACAATGGTCATTAGACTTGTAGCAAGTTGAGAGAAATTGCTCAGTGTCCCATGTTTGGCAAATTTAAAAATTAAAGTCTGAATTTTCAGATGCAGAAAGTCAAAGTTTATGGTATTTTTTTTCCTTCTCTTCCTTTTTCTCTTCTCCAGATAATCTAAAGCTCCCTTCTGATGATTAAAATGCATATCTTGAGTTTTGGGATAAAAAAAGCAAATGGAAAGTGATGATAAAAAGTAGAAAAAGGAGGAACTGTGTAGAAATAGTAGAAGTAGGAACAAAATCAAGATATTTCTCTTGGCCTTTTTTTGCCTCATTTTTAACTGTTTTGGAGATAATTATCTTTTTACTATGGAGGGGTAGGTTTTTTAACCATTTACATATGAGTAATTTTCTTTCTTTCAAAAGTAATTTTCTTTCTTTCAATTTTCTTTCTTTCTTTTCTTTCTTTCCAAAAAGAAAGCAGAATACTTGAATAAGTTCACTTCTAGCTTTAAAGCTATGTTGGAAAGGCCTTCAGAAATCTTTAGACCATTACTATTTTTACATTATTATATGGCATAGGCTGTTATATATCTTTGGCCTGTGCCTTACTGTGTCTCCAAAGGGACTGTATCAGTACACTAATAAGTCATATCTTATGATTAGTTTTGTCTTCACAAGAACAGAAGTGTATTTAAGAGATAATACAAAGCTAAAGGATGAGGAAATGTCTTATGAGAGTTTACAAGTAACTTGTGTCTTGAGGTAAACAAAATGTGGGAGAATTAATTTATTTTTGTTGTTCAGATGCCTTTAAAAAGATCTCCTTATGAAAAAATATATTATCCATTAATGCTTCCCAAGGCATCTCTGCTTTTCTCTTACCTTAAGTATCAGTACATCCAAAAATATTACTGATTTCTCTCCACATCCCAATGCTGAAAACTCTGACATATGATTTCATGTACCAAATGGTTTTCCTTTCATTTTGTTTTTTTAGTTGTTGGTTTTTGCCAAATTGATTAACTTAATAATTTATTGGGAAAGCCAGAATGTGCTTTCCAAATAAGGGTCTGTATTCATTTATAGGACAACAATAAATCATAGCCCTGAGAACTGCTTTGTTCCAAAGTAGAACAGTCCATCAATTGCCTGTTCTCTTGTACAGCACTTTTCACAGGAACTGGGGACAATTAAAGAATTATTCCCTTGTGTAATGTAAAAGCCATGGAATGCTAGGGAAGGGAACATAAAGTTAAGAATTACAGGAATGTTCAATAGATTATGGTCAGTAATGCTGGGAAAAATAATAGGTTCTCTGGAGTAGAGCAGAATTATGTCCTTCTATGTAGCTCTATTGCATTTTCCAAATGTAAATTAAACAACCAAATCAAAACATACAATGCCCGTAAGCATCAATCCTAGGACCTTGCTGAAGTCCCATAAAGGCACATCATGTAGATGTGTCACTTTCAGTTTTTCATAAGATGAAAAGGCTATATAAGTTCAAACCTTCATTGGTGTCTAATAGAATATAACTCTAATTTTGCGAGGTGATCATCCTATGATCCTGTAGGAGACTAGAACATGAAGCCTAGTAGCATTTTCTCAGAGGCTTTTTGTTACCTTTTCTTGAGGAATGGTTCATCTTTGATACCATGGAATATGTAGAAGATGGTGATCAGTGTTTTCAAAGCTAGTGCTAAGGAAGGGTCGCGCATGACAGTTGTATCCCATAAGATAACCACATGCCCCCCTTCCTTCCTGATTTACAAGCTATGCTGCACAGTGCAGTTTTCAGACTCAGATGTTCTTCCCATTCACTTCCTGAGAAGGAAATGCTCAAAATGTGTACTTGCTGTGATCATGGACGTTTCCTTTCAAACAGGAAATTATACTACCCAACGTCAGCCTGTAATCTTATTTTAGGAAAATGACAACACCAGCATGGGTCTCTAGAATCATGAAGGACTGGCAGATGCTTTTCACACTGGCAGTAGTCAATAGATTATTTCGTTATTGGTACCTCAAAAGCTGCATAGAAGGAGCCATGAATCCACACCAAACAGCTTCCCAGCATACTATGGTCTCTGGCTCCAATTTGTGCAAGACACTGGAATTTTTAGGCCATTGCTCCTCCTCCAGAAAATCAAGCATGATGCAAATCTCTTGTTCATCACCAGTTCACAGATGTCTTTTTAAATGATTAACAATATCCTATTCACATAATGTGGTGTGTCACTTTAGGTGCATGCCACAGAGTAGTTGCATTGGAGGGAAGGGGTTAAAAATTTGATCTTCAGGTTGTAGTTTATTCAGTGCCACATGAGTGTTCTGAGTGATGAGACAGAGTGTGCCCTGGCTGGTTCTGTAAACACTGGGCAGGGTTAATAGCCCTCTGCTCACAGGAACACTGCAGCCTCTGCATTCCCTCTGCTGCAGATGGAAGTGGGCATACCTCCAAGAGACAAATATCTCAAAGGCAGCAACTTGTAATAAGTTTGAGCCTACATTAGTTCTTACAGATTTGACTGTGTTTTCAAAAAGATATGGAAAGTCAGTGGAATAGATTTTGCTATCACACACCAATATAATTATAGTCCCATAATCATTTGCAACTAGCATTTTATAATGATCATGTTACTGATGTTTACTGTGAAATATTTATCCAATTCTAACCCTTCTGCTACAAGCAAGCAAATACTTTGCAGAAGCTGAGAGGCCATGAAAATACCTTAAAAAAACCCCTGTAAAGCAATTGTAAAATACATACTATGCCACTTCTAAAGTAATGATGGCAGAAACATCCCAGAGGTCTTATTGATCTTCAATAACTTAATGCTAGAGTGCTTTTAATAATAGATGAGTGAGACATAAATGCCACGCAATACTGCATTTTTCTAAATAACACCTATAAATTGCCATGTGTAACATAAAATTGAAATATGCTAATGGAACATTGTGTGGCTTCTTCCCAGTAAAAGCTGTCAGGAACCTGCCAAAATATTAAAACTGACAGAGATGAATGGGAGAAATTAATTAATATTTAAGAATATAGCTCATCTTTTTATTCCATTCTTGGTTTTGCAGCAGGTTTCCTCAAACATTTTGTGGTTATTGCACAATCCCATGTGTTAATCTTCCAGACAAAGATGTGTTCTGCTGAGGTCATCTACAGGCTTTACGTTACCCTCCCCCATCCCAAAATCACCATTTCCTTCATGTTTTACCCTCTGGTACTTGTCAGGTGGTACTTTGACTTACCTCCTGCTGGGAGAACATGCATGTCATGGATGTCCCTGCTGTCTTCATCAAGATAAGAATAGTTGGGTCTTCCTGTTTCCAGGCTAAATTTAGAGTAAATAAACTATTGGATATGGAAACATTTTATTTGAGTGGAATGAAGAGAGTTGTGAGTGAGCCATGACTTTGTATGCCATAAGGAAAACACTTTTGAGGAGTTGTGACTGGTGGTTGGCCATTGGTCTGCTTGGCCTAGAGGAGAGCAGAGCTCCCATCCAGATGGCCTCAAGCCAGGCAAACCAAGGACCAGAGACAGCTTTTGGCTTTATTCCAGTTTTAAGTAAAAGCAATTTAGAAACTTCAAAATGTTTCATGAGACTGTCATCTAGCTAGTCTTGCTCAAACTCATATAGGTGTTTCATCCTGAGGGAAACATGAAGAGTTCAATCCTTCTCCTGGCTGTAAGTACAAACAGACATTGACCCTACTGCAAGAGGCAGGGATGTTTTCTTTAAGGGCCATTGATTTTAAACATGAACTCTGTGTTTTAGGTTGGAATTGTTCAGTATGGACAGACAGTAGTCCATGAATTTTACCTGAATACATACTCAACAACAGAAGATGTGATGGCTGCAGCCTTGAGAATCCGCCAGCGGGGCGGCACGCAAACCATGACAGCCTTGGGAATAGACACAGCCAGGTATGCACACAGGGTGCTGCCTGCACCTGGCGGGGAGAAACAAACAGGGCAGGGTGGTGCTTCTGATTTCATGTGTTAAAAACATGGTGCAGCTAATGTCTGACTTCATTTTAACTAAGCAAGCATCATTTGTGAGGAAGGTGAATAAGCAGACTCTATCCAGCACATAAAGCAATTGAGTGTCAAAGGGAGATGTCCCCTGAGCAGGGGAATTAGGAAAATATAATAGATATGGAGCAATATTGTAGGCCTAAGCAAAGGGCTGACAATATCTGATGTCCACACAGAGCGGATAGGAACTGTGTATGTAGAGGGATGAAGAAAATCAAGTTTTTCAGAGGAAAAAAAAAATATAATTTTTAATGTTAATTTGTTTTCATTCTGAATATTGTTGAATATTACAATGTTTGGGCCCACTCTTGTCAGAAGGCCTAAAAATTTTCTATCCTAAGTCTGTAAAGTTTCTCAATCATTGGGAGATTAAATATCTGTTGTAGTAATAGCAATATTTGGAAATGCTTCTTTTACGAGAAAAATGAAATTTGACTTTCATAGAACAGACAGTAAATATAAATCTCTCAGAAAATTCCAAACTGTACAATGTTGTCCTGGTAACTTTTTCCTTCTCTGGATCTGTTTCTTCCATCACAAAAGCCTGCTTTTATTCTACAAAAGATTGCATTCACTCTTTACAAACAACCATTTAATGAAATATGCAGCATTTTTCTGATGAACAATTGCATTATCTAACCAAAGTTTTCTTGATGTGGTGTACAATTGAATTCCTCTATATTAAGGCTTTCCTGAGATATGAGTAGAAGCTTGAGGAGTCCAAACAAGTTCACAAAAGCAGAGCCAGTTGAGAATTGCCAAGTTTTCAGAAACCACATCTAGTTCAGAAAGCCCCTGTGTACCACAAACTACAGCAGGCTTGTATATACAGAAACTGTCATCAAAAGCTTCCTCTGTTCTCACAGTCATCCCCCCTTGGCCATTTTCAGTGGTAAATTTCAGCTTTCACTCATGTGGCCAGTCCTAGAATTCTGTGGTATTTTTCTGAAAAGAGGAAGCCCTGCTTCCTTCCTTCTCCTCCCAAGCCCTATTCCAGCCTTGCCTTGTTAGGTCTAGAGTCTGTGGGAACAGCTGCCCAAAACCTCAGAGCCTGTTTGCCCATCTGCAACCAGATTGGGCCCCAATCTGCCTCCATTTACCTCCAACCTATTTCTGCCACGTCCCCAGCACACAGTGTTAATTAACATACTTGCGCAGACATGTGCTGATAGCTAAGTAAATAGTTTGACCACTTGAAGTGCTGCTGTAGGGTGGAATTAGGTGGGGGTTTTCTGCATGGGTTTTTGGAAAGGTAGGGTGTTTGCTGAGTCTTTTTTTAAGATGCCAAAAGCTGTTTTGAAGTGCCAGAAGTTTATTTGTAAAGGGGAAGAATTTTTCACTATCCAGATTTGTATTTTCTGCTATTGCTCTCTAGTGAGTGCATGATGAATGAATGCTTGTGAAACTTTGGCTGTGAACTGTCATGTAAGTTCCAATTGCAGTTGTTTGTATTTGTTCATGGTTAGCATTAATCTCCATTTCCTGCTTCCTAGTTAATATAAAATCTTGTAGTTTATGGTTGGCTATGCAAATATGATGCATGTGCTAAATGCTGACATTGCCTTTCTCCAAAACACTTTATGGTCCCTTCAGGGAAGAAGCTTTTACTGAGGCTCACGGTGCACGAAGAGGAGTACAAAAAGTAATGGTTATTGTGACTGATGGGGAATCACATGACAACTACAGATTACAAAAAGTGATTGATGATTGTGAAGATGAAAACATTCAGAGATTTGCTATTGCTGTAAGTGAAATTTAATGGGAAAATTCAGAATGTTAAAAGCATGTTTCATCTTCTAAACGTAATTTCAGTTTTAGAAGTTCATTTCACAGAATCTTTATGGAAATATAATTATTTCAGGGGGAAAAAGCTAAAAAAAACATTAAAAATTTGCTTTCTGATTTTATAGTATATAAGAAAAGCAATCTGGCTGTCTTCCTTGTGATGATGTGTGTGTCTGTGTGAGGAAAAAGGAGGAAGAGTTTGAGGGACAGTTTTAAATCAAATCCTTTTTGTTAAAAGCAACACTGAGCAAAGGGACTAATACAATTCTAGGCAACTTTTACAGAAACAATACCTATTTTTAAAAAAATCAAATGTAAGCCATCAAAAAATACTTGTTCATTATGTCTGTGTTTTATGCTTGCACTCTAAAGCTGTCATTTTCATGCCAAGCATGCCAAACAGTAGCTGAATGAGAATAGTAGTTAACCCATATAAAGAAATATGAAAGTATTAGTTATGGATTTGGTATTAATACTGCACCATATTGGTGTATTTTATGCACGAATCTTCTGTTTTCTGGTGTTAATTTTGAAGGGACATTGGGTTGTTGCCTCTCCATTGCTATCTTTCTTTGTTTTGCTATCTTATTTTTTGGTAAAATAAGGTGGTATGAAACCATGAAATTTAAAGAAAGATGTTATACTTTATTTAAGATTTAAAACAAAGTTGAGTCCAGCAGCACACAGATTTTCAGTGCTTTTCTTCATAAAATTAGAGATAACTAAAGAAAAAGTTGTCCTTGACACTGCAACAATTTTAGCAATGAAATTCGTGTCTAGAACCAAATATGAATTTCTTCAGTGGGCTGAGATGCTAGAGCATAGGAATTTGGTTTATGTCTCCCTCTCAAATCAAGTTTAGTCTATGGAGCCCTTTTTCATATGAAAAATGTCTGTTTGTCTGGGAATTAAGAGAAGTGAGGTGTTTTTTTCTGAGGTATCCTGAATTGTTACAGCAGTGTTGTTAAAACTGCAACCCAAATCTAAAGTCTTGTATTGTGTTGAAGTTGTTAGCACTGAATAGAAGTGTTGTTCTTATATGTATTTGTAGGGCAAATCTTCACAGAATAAAGAACTATTCTATGCCTAATCCACTTGTCATAAATTGCATGTATAGCATGTTGTGATAAGAACTGGTGGTTATGCAGAAACCAGAGTAATTGTACTCTGGGTTGGGAAGTGTTTTGTTGGTTTTTCCCTAAATTGTGGCCTGCTTCAAAAATCAGAGAATGAATTATTACATGAATTTTGTGAAGAAGGGGTGAAAAGTACAGTTGAGGATAGCAGATATCACACCACACTGTTGCTTTGTTTCCTGTCAAATTATATTTTCAAAAAATCAACTGAGCCATAATAGAGTTCTCTTCTACTTGAGAAAGAATGGCTTCAAATCAGTTTGAGAGAGGTTTTAACAACACTAATTAAGGTTAGAAATGATTTTCCACTATTCTCTGACAACTTACCTCAATGATATCTTTTTAAACAGGTTATAAAATATATGTTTGACTTTTTTTTGTGTGTTTCTTTGGGTTTTTTTTTATTTTCTTTAGATTCTTGGCAGCTACAGCAGAGGAAATTTAAGTACTGAGAAATTTGTAGAGGAAATAAAATCAATTGCCAGTAAGCCTACTGAAAAGCATTTTTTCAATGTCTCAGATGAATTAGCTCTTTTAACCATTGTTGAAGCACTTGGAGAGAGAATATTTGCCCTGGAAGGTATGACATTATTTAAAATTTTACTATATGCCTGCATTACAACTGAAACAAATAGAAGAACACCTGTTTTTACCTTCCTTTGAAATGCATTCTGCTGTGTGAAATTTATTATGCAATTATTTCTTCCGCGCTGGTTGTAAAAATATTTTATAAAAGGCATCAAAATAGTAGATATAGATGTGACTATATGCATAGGAGTTAGAGCATGTGGAGACAATAGCCTAAAAGGGTAAGTAACCAGAACTGGTGTAATGCAATAATTAGAAAGTTGCCCTCTTTTAGGTTAAAAACATTGCCAGATCGTACCCCAATTACCCCATGATCATCTGGTTTTTTGCCTAAATGTTTAGGGTCTCTTTTTGGTTAATTATTAATTATACTATATTAGTTTGCTACACAAATTAGCATGGACTTACTGCATAGAGTTGACAAGATATGATTTTCCTTTGGGAAGGTTCACAGTATTCAGATTGCAGCACAGAAAAGTCATTCTCTCATAATGTCTGCTTACATTCTCCATCCAAATGAGACAACGCTGCCCAAACCACTGTTTGTTTCAAGTACTACTGGTAACAGGAGACAGAATTTATTAGTTATAAATTATACTGGCCAACTCTGAAGGGATTCATGTAGTACAAAGAAAACATCCATCTATTTGGACTATTTTTTTCAACACTTCAACTTTCCAAGTAGCTAGAATAGTGTAGTTTATAGCTGGAACAAAAGAAGATATTGACTTGAATGTACAAAATTGAGAGAGTATTTTCAATTTTTTTACATTAGAGTTGTAGTTCTCAGACATATTTATATTCTTCGAGTGTATTATTAAGTTTGGTCAAATATTAATGATTTCAGCTATTACTAAAGTTTTCAGCAATAAAAAGTTTGTTAGAATATTATTTATACGTTCTTTTTTACCTTCTGGAAAATTTGGTTTCCTCAGCTTTGCAACAAATTAATTTGAGAAGAATATGATTCACTAAAGTTCAAAGTTTAGCCTACTTAGGGCCAATGAGTACTTAAAAGTTAATTAAATGGGGTGCTCTTTTTGTAAGTCACTATGTACTAAGAATTATACACTTTAAATGAGAATGTAGTTGTTAAAACAGGAATTGAAAACTTGGTCTTCAAGTTGTCCTTTGTACTTTTAAAAAAGTGAGAAAAACATTTGTGTTTCATTGTCAGAATAAAATGTTATTTGCATCTATTAGCTATAATGAATATAGAATAAGAAGTTAAATAATGTTACAACAGATGAAGATGTAAGACCTAGCATGACTGAGTTTTTGAAAATCTAATTAATTTCATTATTGCCTAAAGGCATCTTGGTTTGCAGATTTTCTCTAGGAACTCAGAGATGTGCTAAGATTTCTACACAAGACACCTGCAATATAAGACATGAAATGTCTCCTCCTCAATCTAAGTCCCAGAAGTCATGCAATCTGTCTGCAAGAGAATCAGAATACAAATGAAAATGGGATTTTAGCTTTTTGTCAAAGCATAGCAAGGTCAAGCTGCTCCAGCAGTTAGTTAATACTGAGTTAGATAATACTGACTAAATCAATTTATGCTGATTCTTGAGGCGTAGTTTCCTGTCCTATCCCAAAACCTTTCAGTTTTCTGGATTCACAACCATGTCCATGCATGCATTTTTTCTGGTGGTGGAAGCAAGCAGGTTAATTCTGTGCCCTGCAGCTTTTGACAAGCCAGTTTATTGCATATGTTTAATTGGAGATTAATCAGCTCTGTACATAGTAGCTTCTGTGCATCACAAGAACCTTGTTTGTTGAAATTTGATATCTGAATCTGTTTAAATTCTCAATCTAAATTGCTTCTTGCTAGTATAGTAGTACATTTGATTTTTTTTTCTTTTTTTTCATTTTGGTTCTTTAAAAAAATTCAAAGAAAAATTGAGAGAGATTTGAAAAATCAAATCCAACAAAAACCCCTGCTTGACAGCCAGTGAATTTTTTCACATAATCTTTTTCATATCCCTCTGTGTCTCATGGCATGGACATTGCTTTTAACAGCAGTTTTATGTTTTATCCAACCCGTAGGCAGGCACAAATGTTTTTTCACAAAATATCCTTTGTAAGATGCTTGGCAGTTTAAAACTGAATGGAAAGTTAGGCTAAGGGCCATTATCTAAGTAGTATTTTGAGCTGCACACTCCAACAGTACCAGCTTTGTCCTCTGCCTCAGGCTGTGAGAATCCTGTCTTTCTCAGCTTATTAAGGAGCATCCTTTACTGCATGAAAATATTGTTTATCAGCAGATGTGCAGCTTAAGAGTTTTTTGCCTAAAAATGACTTGTTCAGACTTAGCAAAGCTTCTACATCTTGTGAAACATGATAGTCTTCATTTGTATGTCAAACACTTTGTACTTGAGATCATGTCTCCTTCCTACGACTGGCTGTAAATGGCAAAAATTAGGAAAGCCATCATGTCCCTGGGAGCAACTGCTGGGGTTTAGTTGCTGAGTATGAAAAGTTCAGTATTATTTAATAGTCCAGATGCCTGAAATTCATGCAACCATGGCTTGCTATGGCTCCGTTTCATTCCCACAGTTGAAGGCTTGCTGCAGCACTTGGCTGGTAGCAAACTGTGAACACTTCCTGGACCAGTACCAGAGCAGATTTCATAGCTTGCCTCCACTGCTTGTAAGCATGTCTTGCTCTCAAGGAAGAATCAACATGCACAATATAGTTCCCTTACTTGGACACTTATAGTGGCAAAATAGTCCTTGACTATTAAGGGCTGCTTATCTTTCTTTTAAGTAGAGGAAAAGGCAGAACTTTTTCTTCTCTGATGATATTTCAAGTTTACCTGGAAGAAAAACATCCCATCAAAGTTTAATAACTAGCATATGACTACTTGTCAAGATACTGAATCTAGTACAAAATCACCTGATAACTTTTTTATCCAAAGTAATTTAAGAGAATCAGATCTTCATGTAATTGTCTGGGCAGGGTTATCATTCCCAAGCACTTCACTAAGGCTTATGAATCTTGGACAGCAGAGATTTTCCTATGTTGTTTTTGCAAAGGTTCATACAAACATCAAGTGTTTTTCATTTAAAGTTCCTCCAGCTGCCTACAAAACTTGAGTTGCTTGAATACAAGGCCAGGGTTACATGGCTGATGTTTTATTGTTCACTTAGCTCAAGTGGAAAATGGCTTAACCATATTAATCAAACATTCCAAACATACTTGCCATCAGTCTGAGTTCAAATCTGGTCAGTTTTAGCCCAGAAACTTTGGCTAAACCTTGTTGGACAAGTTCTGAGACATGATCTTAAAATGGAAATTCCCTTACTTAATAGTAGCATTCAACATGGGTCTTTATTTCTGTGTTTATTGTAAAACTGTACGGTAAACTATAGTCACTGGATAGATTTGTTAATTATGCTATCCTTTACAATCATATGATCATTTTCATAACACTCTTCAGTTACTTTTCCAGATTGGAACAAATTTATTTTTTAAACTTATTTTTTTCTGTTTAATAGCAACAACGGACCAGCAGGCTTCCTCTTTTGAAATGGAAATGTCTCAAGCTGGTTTCAGTGCTCATTATTCTCAGGTAAACAGACTGTTTGAAAATGGAAGTTATTTTACAAAGTAGATTTTTGCGGGTGGTTCTAGGAATTTGGAATAAGTGTTTCGGATTTCTTTGTATAGTCCTGTTTGCTGTTGGAAGTTTTGTAGTGTCCTGTAATCCAGTTACCTTTTTCGTGAAATGTACACAAAAAACATTTATGAACAGCAAAAGCATGAGAGAGTACGTATATACTTCATATGAACTCTAAACTTAGTGTTCCCATGGCACTTTCTATCAGGAAAATAGCCTAAAAATATGTTAAAAAGATTGGGTAAAACCTTTTTACTAGAGCCCTTAGTGACAGAAAAAGGGGCAATGTTTTAACTTGAAAGACAGTTCCAGAGCAGGGCCACAAAGATGACCAGAGGGCTGATGCACCTATCCTGTTAAGACAGGCTGAGAAAGATAGGGTTATTTAGCTTGGAGAAGAGAAGGCTCCAGGGACACCTTAGAGCAGCATTCTAGTATTTAAAAGGGGCTTATAAAAAGGAGGGAGAAAGGGTACATGGGTACAACTACATGGGTAGCTGGCAATAGGACAAGGGGGAACAGTTTTAAACTAAAGGAGCAGAGGTTTAGATTAGATGTTAGAAAGAAATTCTTTACTTGGAGCAAAGTCACTGGAACAGATTGTGCAGAGCAGTTGTGGATGCCCCACCCCTGGAGGTGTTCAAAGACAGGTTGAATGGGGCTCTGAACAAACTGGTCTAGTTGATGGCATCCCTGCCATGGCAATGGATGGATGGAACTGGATCCAGTTCAGGACATTTCTACCCAAGCCTTCAGGACATTTCTACCCAAGCCTTTCTATGACCCTATAATTGTAGGATCCATACCATAATAGGAAAAGCAAAGCTAACTTTGTAAGCACGCAGGAAGCACTACCCAAATGTGAGCATCCTGAACCATGAATGTCTAAAGATGATTCACATAGAGAAAAGATGATTCACGTAGAGAACAGGCTTTTTGTTTTGCTCTCCTTAAGGATTGGATCATGCTTGGAGCAGTTGGAGCATATGACTGGAATGGCACAGTGCTGATGGTGAAAGACACTGGTATTTCCATGCCAACTAATGACACCTTCCGTGACAGGCGTTCCGAGAGAAACGAACCTCTCGCAGCCTACCTAGGTAAGAGAAATAGCCCATCTTGCAACACCTTTCAACAAATGCTCCAAGACGTCTCTCAAAGCTCATTCAAAAGGAGTATGATACAGAATATTTTATGTGCCAGGAGCCAGGGAGCACATCTACTCTCTGATTTTCATGTTCTTTGAAAAAACTAAATAACAACTCCTACAACTAGAAAACAAGTCCAAACACAGACCTAAGTATATCTAGACTTTCTCAACAGATATGTTTAATCTGTTCAAAGAAGATTTCACAGATTCCTCTAGTATTGTTATCAAGTTTTTCTATGCCTTGATAGTTAAAAAGTCTTATACAATATTAAGTCCAAATATTTGCTTAAAATTAAGCAAATTGTCAATCAATGCACAAAACCAGCAAGACCAACATATTTTTTTCTATAATAATATTTTGCATATTGGCAGGTTATTTTTCTACCAAAAAGCTTCAGTGCTCTCTCCCCTGGGTCTTGCTTTCTATACCTCTATACCTCATGTTTCTGTTTGCTCTCTTATCTCATTGAAGTCATACTTCCATTGACAAAGAATCAATGCTACAATATTTTAATGTTTTTCCCTAAGTACACATTCTTTATTGCCAAATGCCTTTTATTACAACTCCAATATGGTGATGTAATCTTCAAATTAAGATTGTAAACTCCCATGAAACTTGAAACTCTTTCAGTTTTAATTTCACTGCAAATTTTTCAGGTCTTCCTTCACCAAAGTTGTTAAAATGTTGTTAAGAATAAACAGAGCAGAGGTAGATTCAAAATGCCCCCAGAATCACTTTTTGAAGACTCCATGAGTTTGCCAGTGGGCCAGTGACAACTGTTCTTTGAAAGCAGCTTTTCAACCAGTTATTCATGACTTATTTCTTACACTGTGTGAGAATGGCAAAGTGAACATGGATCACCAGCCTGGGAACAGGTTTAATAACCCAAGGGTGCTCCTCACTCTGAGACTGTAAACAAAAAAAACGCCTTTTCATTATCTGCTGTTGCTCTCTACCATGAATAGAGGTAAATATCTTGTTGTGGAATAAACCTTACAAAGGCTCTGAATCACAGCAAGTATTTCTGATGCATTCTGCTTGTATTGTATCTTGATTTCTTTCTGTTCCCTAGGATATACTGTGAATTCAGCACTGACACCTGGAGGTGTGCTGTACATAGCAGGACAGCCACGATACAATCACACTGGCCAAGTTATCATTTATAAGATGGAAGGAAAAGAGGTGCAAGTGATTCAGAGATTAAATGGAGAACAAGTAAGTACACATTCACAATTAGCACACAAAGAAGTAAGCTGAAGAAATAGTAAGTATTGCAAATGAGAACACATTAGAAGAGCACATGAAAATGAGAGTTGTAAGCAAGATGAGAAGGAAAAGTTAGGCAGATCCTCTGGAATAATTAGCAATGCAAATTGGATTGTACAGTCGATACTTGGGAATTTTGTCTTTGAGGGTTGGATCTTCACTAGTGTCAAAGTGGTTGTTGCCATCTCTGTAGTGCAATTTTTTCTGTCTGCTGAATGGAAGAGCATGTCACTGGCAGGAAAGAGTTTTGACAAGCATGGTTCTGTGCAAGGATATCTTCTTAGATAGACTGAAGTATTGAATAGTTGCTTGTTACACTGGGTAACAGCTCTCACTGAGAGCTGTTGCTGTAGGAGGAAAAATCCCCATGTGATTGCATAATAAAGGATGGTATTATTAAGATAATATTATGCTTATGAGAATTGAGAGACCTGCCTATTCTCATATCCCCAGGCTGCAGAATCACCTTCTCTCAGGAGCATTCAGATTACCTAATTTTCATCTATATCAGATATCTGCAACTCAGCTAATCAATCACTCAATCAAACAAACATTTTAGAGTCAATGAACTAAAGTAGGTATGGGCCTGTTCAGCCTTGAGAAGAGACAACTGAGAGGGGACCCCATCAGTGTCTGTCAGTGTCTGCAGGCCGGGGTCAGAGCAGGGACGGGGCCCTGCTCAGTGCTCTTGAGCAAAAGAACAAGAGGCAACAGAGTGATGCACAGGAAATTCCACCTGAACATAAGGAAGAAATTCTTTACTTCGTGGGTGACCACTGGAATGGATTGTCCAGAGAGATTTTGAGTCTCCCTCACTGGAGATATTCAAGAACCATCTTGACACAATCCTGTGCTGTGTGCTCTGGTCTGACTCTACTTCAGCAAGGAGGTTGGACCAGATGTCTCACTGTGGTCCCTTCCAGCCTGACCTGTTCTGTGATTCTGTGATTTTTAAGGTTTGAGACATCTGGACAGCTCGAAGCATCTCTGTGAGAGATGTATCTTGGACAAGAGGAGGCTGTATCTCCTGTTAAGTGTAAATGAAGTGCAGGGTATTTTGCTTATCTGTGAATATAATCAGATGAATCTTATGGCTTGCTCCTGATCTACGAATGTATCTATCTCTTAATGTAATTTTTTTTTCCTCTGAAAATAATAACTTGAGTGGCTGTCTACACTGAGCTATCTCAGAACTTTTGCCCAAGCTTTTTTACTTGTTTATTGAAGAGAAAACTAGCATCCCCAAGATACTCTTATTCCAGTGCTGTTTTAAGAGGTCATACTCCCCATAACAGGTAGAAAGCACCCTTTTATCCTTTCAAACTCAGAAGAGTTGAAAGTTGAATGGCCTATTTCTTAATAAAAAAATCAGACAACAAATGCTAAAACTGAAAACAAGCTTCAAAGACAGACCAATAAAAATCTAGCAAGCAAAGAAAATTTATACCTAGTGGTTAATATGTTGCAAGCAAGAAGTAGGTCTCTGAAAAGGAAAAGCAGCATGATGTTGCTAACTCTGTCTCTGATGTATACTTTGTGTTTTCCTACAGATTGGGTCATACTTTGGGGGTGTTATTACCACTGTTGACATCGATAGGGACTCATTTACAGACCTCCTTCTTGTTGGAGCTCCTATGTATATGGGAACTGAAAAAGAGGAGCAAGGGAAAGTGTATGTTTACAGTCTGAACAAGGTAAGTGATGATTTTTATTGAACAATAGAGCAAGCTCTTTATTGCCTTTTTATCCTTATTTTAAAGAAACACAGTAATTTGAACTAGGGAAGATGACTTGTTGAAAATAGGGGAAAATAGTTTTGACAAATGAGATTATAATGTGACTTAATTTTAAACTCCATTCTCAAACTCTTGTTAAGAGTTAAGTACTATAGATAAGTAATAGATAAGTACTATATCTTATAAACTGAAGTTTGGTAATGATACAAATTTATAGGACTACTTTTTCATCCTTTTTTTTTACTTTCATGGATTAGGGAAAGCTCATTCATCCTAAAAGTGTAATCTCCAGTATCCTTGTGAGTTGCTGAGCAACCTAGAGCTAAACCCCATACATCCAGCAGCTTTTAAATGTCTGACTAGATTGAGGGTTATACCACACACTCTTCACTTTATTAATTTGCTAAGTCTTTTCTTTCACTGTCTGTGCATACTCCCTCTCCCTCTCCCTCTCCTCATATTATCAAAATATGTCTTAGCAATGATGATTTCCTAAAATCCTATTTCAAGAAAAGGACCTCAAGAGACTGGATATTTTTGACAAGGAATTCCTACAGTCTCTACATGCATGTTGCCAACAACAACTTGCTGGTGAATAGGATTGGTGAGAAAACAATAATTCCATGTCCTCCAATAATGTGGGGTTTGAAATTTGTTTTTCCTGTATTTACTGTTACCCAGCTCCAAATAAAGAAGATGCAGTAACTGCTTGCTACTGCTTATTTCTGACATGGAATTCATGGGAAAGATTGGTTTCATGCCCTAGTGTCTGTGTGTTTTTGGTCCAGTACACACATTGGATCAGAATACGTGTGTTAGGCCCAGTGTAAGTGTCTACTGGGGGCAAAATTCAGTCTCAGTAAAAGAAATGCTATCTTTTGTTCTGCAATAACAGTATTACCATCTGTGTTTCATTAGAAACTTGGCTAACTTCTCAGATTAAGAGAATGCTTTTAGAAAAACTCTTTACACCCCCTAAAGAATGAAGTAGTTTACTTACAATAGCATTCAAATATTGCTATGATACTGTGCTTTCCTGTGAACCTCTAATTTCAAGAAATATGCAGAAACATCTAGAGGCAGAAGGAGAGGGAGCAAGAATGTTATTGCCCCATTCTGCTCAGAAAGAACATTTGAATTATAGTTGTAGAAGCACAGTTTCTGCAGTCCACGTAATGACTGGGAATAGTTTGTAATTGTTCTGTTTAATTCATCCATTTGTCTTCTGGACAGGAGCTCTTAAAATTCTGCATGGCTGAGATGTTGGCGCAAATTCACAAACTCTAAATCTGTTCTTCCACAGACAAAGTTTGAATATCAGATGAGTCTTGAACCCGTAAAGCAAACGTGCTGTTCACCATTAAAGCAGGATACCTGCAAAGTTCTTAAGAACGAGCCTTGCGGGGCACGCTTCGGGACCGCGATCGCTGCTGTGAAGGACCTCAACCTGGACGGGTACAATGACATTGTGATAGGCTCTCCCTTGGAAGATGACCACCGGGGGGCTGTTTATATTTACCATGGCCGTGGCAAAGCAATCAGTAAAAAATATTCACAGGTATGAAGTAAAATTCCACAGGTTGACAGCTGCTCTAATGTATATAGTGTTTATAATCCTGTCTTCCCAGCTTAGAATGAGGCTGTGACTTGGCCAGTTGTAACAGCTTTTTTTAAATTGCTCTATGCTTTTATACTCATACTGATTTAACTGAATCTGAGTCTTAATATTGTTAAAGAATATACTCACATGGGTTTATTAGAAGCCTTCTGACATGCTCTGGACAGCCAGAAAAGCAGATATTTTGCAATCTAAAAATTTATAGTGTGTTCATCACCATGGTAACTATTTTAGGGGTATTGTAATGAAAATTTAACGTAGTTAAAGAGCCTAAACCCCATCTGACTGCCGTCAAATGCATCTTGACTGTTACAAAACCCTTCAAAGTGCACTGCATTAACTTCTTTATGCATTTCACAGCGTATTGCATCAGGTGGAGATGGGGAAAAAGTGAAATTTTTTGGCCAGTCCGTGCACGGACAAATGGATTTAAACGATGACGGGCTGATTGATGTTACCATCGGAGGCCTTGGCGGGGCTGCCCTCTTCTGGTACGGAGAATCACAGCAACTGTCAGGACAGGGGAAAAAACTTCTGCTTGGATACCAGTGTAACTTGCATGCATGATTGTTTGGACTTTGTAAGGTTACTGGTTTCATCCCATGTTCCATGCCATGTTTTATCCCAGACGACTGCAAATATTCATCTCTTTACATCTCTCTAGAGGAATGAGCATTAAACTTAATGTATACTCTTATAAATACAGGGATACTATAGAACTCTTGCTAGCCTAGAAGAACTTGTCCTCCTAGACCACCTTCAAAATAGAAACTGATTCCACTTGTGGCACAAAGTAAAATAGGAAAAAACCTGAATTTCTCTCTTTTTCACAGTATATTGCATATTATTTTATTAACAATATCAAGAACAGGTTCAAATGTTAAGGAATCACAAAGAAAACTGGTTTTATTTCTTAGTAGGAAAACTGCAGTTTGAGGCCCTACAGAAAATCTGTAAAATTAAACTCAGCCTTCTGCTTAACAGTCAGTTCATTTCCTTTATATGAAAATGATTCAGATCTAGTAGTGAGCAATATAATTTTTAAGGGAGATGACAAATAAACAGTATGACATTAAATCCCTCATTTCTAAGCCACAACTAAAACTATTTCTTTTTCTGGTAAGGAAATTGCTAACCCAGTCCCTTGCTTTCTCTGTCCTGCTCTTTCACCTAACTCACCTGGTAGGTGATCAAGTTTGCCAAGGCTTGCTACCATCCTCATGCTCCCAGCTTCTTCTGAACTTCACCTCGTAGTTTCTTTCTAAATGTTCCATGTGTAAACACAGTGTGATGTCCTTCACTGCATTGTTGAGACCACAATTCTGAAGATAATTACTTTGCCAACTAAATTTTTTGATGGTTTAGTGCACTGACATGCTGCATCTCATGGCCAAAAGGGAGCTGAATCGGACCAAGGGATGAGACAGGAATGCATTGCAAGAACAAAGGACATTTAAAGTGAAACAAAATGGGGACAAATATTAGCCTGTTTGTCTACCCACAACCTAAGAGATGGTTTGCTGTCCTCCAACTTATGTATAATATTATTTTCATCTGTGATACTCTCAAGGATAAGTCTTGTTCTTGTACAAGTCTCTTATCCTTGAGAGTATCTTGTGATACTCTTCAGAGACTTTCCCTCCTGAGTGGTAGTTGAGCTTTAAAAAATGCTGTAGTGCTTTATAGGTTTTTGCTGCTGAGGACATTTCTCTGCCTCCTCTTTTTGTTGCTCGCGTTTTGGTTTTCTGTATGATGAGTTCTTTCTGTAATGGCAGTTAATAGGCATGCAATAATCTGCCTAAATGGAGAAGGGCAAATGCAGACTGAAAAGGTGCCAGAGAAGTGAATTGCAACTGCCAGTTGTTTTTATACCATCACACAGCCAAGACAGAAAACATGAAATAATAGATGGCCTCTTAATTGGCACAACATGGCCAACACTGTGTCAGCTACTGTACTGCAGCATGGTGCCATCAACATGTGCCACAGGAATCTCACTTCAATTATGGATTTTATGCTTCTGTTATTTTCCAAAGAACATTGAAGAATTTTTTTTTTTAGCTATAAAATTTTTGTCAGTTGGACTCAAATGATTTTAAAGCCTTTTCCAACCTTAATGATTCCTATGTGATTCTATGTCTGTATCTGAATGTTGAATGCTGCATATTTTGTGAGTTCATTCTTAAATTTTAAAAAGTTGCTAATCTTATTTCCAAGTGTTTTCTTTGTGTTTTTTTTCCTAAGGTCTCGTGATGTGGCTGAAGTGAATGTTTCCATGCAATTTATACCTAAAAGCATCAATATTCAGCAACAAAATTGTCAGATAAATATAAGAAAAACAATATGCATAGACACCACAATTTGTTTTAAGACCAGACTAAAGTCAAAAGAAGATATATTTGAATCCAGTAAGTAGATAAGCACTAAGCTATGGAAGCTTTAAACTATAAAACATCTATTCTTGCATGTATTTATTAATTAAAAAATGGAATTCAGCTCTTCTAAATTCAGTGTTCAAAGCACATCAAAGATATTTTGGGAAAAAATAATGCATAGAGGCAAAGTGCTTCATAATATTGATCTCAACCTCCTTTGCAGGTCTGCAGTATTGGATTACCCTTGATGCACAAAGACAGATATCTCGAAGCTTGTTCACAGAAAGCCATGAGAGGAAAATGCAAAAAAATATAACAATCAAAGGGTCAGAATGTACGAAACATAACTTCTACATGTTGGCAAGTAAATCATTTAAAGTATTTTTCTCATGTTCACACTAGTGTAACCCAAGTATGTCTTCCATTAATTGCAAATTGGACAACAAAGTCTGTGCTCAGAATTTATCTTAAGAAGTGTACATAAAATTTGTTTAAAACTATTTATTTATACATGTATTAACAATTTACTTTTATATGCAGTCTTTTTAGCTATGTCTCTGTGTCTGTCTTAAGAAAGAGCATACCTCACTTGGTGGAACCAAGCAGCTGTCATGGTTAGCAGTTCAGGTGCACTCAAAACTCAGCAGAAGCATGTGAGAGAATTTCAGTTTGCATTTTGGTGCAATTCCTCCTAAGAAAATACAGTAAATAAACTTTAAGATTTGGAATAGAGAATATTTATTCACTGCAAAACAGAAGCATAATTAGCAACTGTGAGTATGAATTTCCAGAAATTGTAGCTAGTGTGTGGAGTGAATGGAGTTGCATACTGTAACCACATTTAAAATTTTTTGTGGCATAGTTGTATCTTACTGCAAAACTAATGGTAAATGATACCTAGAATTTTCTTCACCAAACAGCAGGCCTAAGTTTGACTTCTCAAAAGGTGATGCTGCTGATGCTTATCTTACTGATCCTTTGAGCACAACTAGAAGAGAAAAGTCTGTGAGTCAATAGTTGAGATATTCTTTAATGAAAGTCTGTGGGATATGCTCAGGCTATTTGAAATTGGTGATAAGATACACTAAAATCTTAGTAAATATTTATAAAGAATGCCTGGCACATTGAATGTTTCATCATTAACTGCAAGCATTCAGATGCTTCTCTAGGAGAATGACAGCAGTGTGACAGGAAAATTTTTTTACCTCAGCATTTTTGGGTCTTTTTAACCTCCTTAGATACTAAAGTGAATTTCCATAACAGCAGTTTTGTTTTCCTTATGTTCTAGGATAAGCCTGATTTTCAGGACTCTGTAAAGGTTTTGCTGGAATTCAATTTTTCTGATCCAGAGAGTGGACCTGTTCTTGATAGCAACCTGCCAAATTCAATAGCAGAATATGTAAGTCAGAAAGATTCTGTATCAATAACCAATGTATTTAAGGTTAAAATCATAGCCCACACAAGAGCTGAAACTATTGCCCACAAATTGGCTGGAGGGGGGGAGGTCATTGAGCCTGTCGAGGAGATGTTTCCTCCAAATGAGTATTTTGGAATGAGAAGTTTGATTCTATGTGCTTGTGAACCATGCTGGGGTTTCAAAGCTGTCCATATCTGAATGAAGATAAAAGAGAGTTACCAAGAATTTTATTGTCGGGTTTTAGGTAGGTGAAGCAGAGTGTTATCTGCTTACTTCTGTGGTGGTTGCCATCATTCATATTTCTATTAATGCTTCTTTTCAGAATCCAGGGGCGTCATTTAGAAGGGAGTGATGAGAAAGCTTATATTTCACCCATGCATTTTACAAGATTTTAGCATGTTTTTTTAACTGGTTAATATGAGAGAAGACTTCTTTGATCATTTAACAGAAGGTCTTACATAAAATTAGGTAGTGCACTAAAATACAAGTATTTGATAATAGATGTAATAAAATTAAAAATAGACATATTATTTTTGCAGATTCCTTTCACAAAAGATTGTGGAGCCAAAAATAGATGCATTTCAGATCTTGTTCTGATTGTAAAAGCAAGCATAGCTGGAGACAGGTAACTGCAATGGGTTTCATGCATTTCTTGATATCTGTACAAAGTTTCTATATGAATTATAAATTCTGCCAGGGCTTCCTTTCTAATTAAGAAACAAGATAGTCTGGAGGCTGAAAAAAGTTTCTCTTTATGTTAAAAACAGATTCAATAGTTAAGATGATCAACATTCTTACTTTATTTTGCAGCTCTTCTCCATTCATTGTAAAGTCACGCAATGATAAGTTCACCATCCAGCTCTCTGTGAAGAACAAAAAAGATAGCGCCTATAATACCAGAGTTTTGGTTCAGTACTCTCCAAATATTATTTTTGCTGGCATTGAGGTAGGATTTCTTTTTACATTATCACAATTATCATAACATATAATGCTAGAGAGATATGAGGAAGTCTTTTTATTAAACCTTAATTTGTCTGCTCTGGCATCATTTCAGTTGTTTGAAAGAGATTTCCCAGGACTGTTGTTCTTGCTTATGCCTCTCAAGGAGTGTATTTTTTTTCACATGAGTGGACTCTTGCCTAGCCCTGTTCCTAAAATACAGATGTAAATTTCACAATGGCACTTAGGAAAAGTGCCTGCCTCTTAGACAAACATCAGATGTAGATCTGTAGAGCCAGAAATGCCTTGTTTTTTATCAGTAGAACTCCTGAGCCTCTAAAATTCTCCTTTTGCACATGTGTAGAAAAACCACTGTCATGGCAGGACAGGATATATCAGTGCCTGTGTCTACCCTACCTCAGACAGCATTTCCAAAAGTGGCTGTTTTCCTTCCTGCCTCAGCAGATATGGTACAAGTACACCTCAGTTCAGATGGGAAGCATTTAGGGCAGTTTCCTTTCTGTCAGCAGTCCCAATACTACACATTAGGAGAAGTCAGGGATCCATAGCACTGTTTCTGATCCTATGGCAATAATTGATGGAGTGTGAATGCGACTTTTATTGCTGTCTTAAGAACATATTTACAAAATTTGAAAACTGTGTAATTACAGATATGTTGATTGCTAGACCCCATGACTAATTTGCATGATGTCCAGTAGGCATATAATTGTAACTGTTCCAAACACTGTCATTGGAAAGGCATAATGGCAAGTAATTGGTATAAGTGTCCATAGGTGAAAATTGTCTTGCAGAATTTGTGGCTTCATATTTTTGTTCAAGTTTGACTAAGGCTTTGACTCTCACAATATAATGACAGTGAAAAGTGGCAGTGGTATATATGTTCAACGGGTCTGTGATGGTCAGTCAAAATTTTAAAGGAGTTTGTACAAAGCCATGCTTTCACTGTCTTTTTTCCTTCAGGATATACAGAAAGATAGCTGTGAATCTAATCACAACATCACCTGTAAAGTGGGATATCCATTTCTAAAACCTGAAGAAGAGGTAAAAAGTCCCCTGCATGCAAGTTCTGCTTGCCTCATGTTATTCTAAATGCAGGGCAGTCCATGTCACCTCTGAAGTTCTTTTCTTTTGTGTTCATCCCAGAAACTTTCCATGCATGTTTCCTAAGCTGTCCTTGACGTCAGCTGCACAAAGGCAGATGGGAAAACCATCAGATTTTCAGTAGCTGGGCAGTCAGATGTGGTACATGAGGGTGTAAAGGATGCATATTGCCATCCTTGACACCGTCAGAATGCAAGTGACACGCAAGTTGCTCGCCTGGCCAGAAGTGTCTGTCTCGAGGCTTTCCACAGCCAGGAGCCTATGAGTTTAGTTATTTTGTATATAAAATGTAGTCCCTTGATTGAAGATAGCATAAGATGCCATCCCAGGTCTGCCAAAATCAGGCATCAAGGCTTCACCTCTGCTCAGTGGAAAATGAAAGGCCTTTCCAGCAAGTAGTCAGCTTAAAATCAAGCTCCCATCTTGAGCAGTTCCAGTGATGTCTGTATCTCTTGTTGGGATGGAGAGGGAGCTTTAGTTAAACTAAGGCTTCGAAAAGCCATGCTTAGGTCTTGATCTTGAATTGGGAAATATCAATTCTTATGCAAATAAGACAACCTTTCCTGGCAGTTTCTTGTTTGTCCCTCTGTCATGCTCCAGGAGTACCGATGTCTTCTTACACTGCCTCCCACCCAAACACTCCAGCTTGGACTTGGACTTGGACTTGTAGGGATAAAGTCAGCTGTTACCTTCTTGAAGCCAAATAAGTATATTGCCCAATGCCTCTGCCCACAGTGTTCCATTCACAGCTTCACTGGGTTTTTCATATTTTCCTTTCATGTTTTGCTTGTTAGTTTGTCTGTAGCTGTAAAGCCCTAAATTTAGAAATTTCACACTTTTCTTTGCATTCAGAAATCAATTCATCTCTGTTTCACTGATTTCACTGATGCATCCCTAATATATTCTTTTCATCCCCTTTAATATTCTTTTCTAAAGCTGCTTTTTGTTTTTAAATATTATATATAGGACAACTTCCTGTGGATTAATTTGTAAATACAAATAAAGTTTTGTACACATAAAAGGAAAGATAAAAATCTGAGCTGAAAATTCCATACAGTAACAAATAAGAAAACTTTTGTTTCTTATAAAATTACTTAAGTGTCAGATATGAGAAAGAACGTTTAGCACAGTGTTCCTAAATTTTTTGTAATTCCAAGTTGTGATAGATTTGTCCTGATTATTATAACAATGAGATGTTTTTGATACCTAGTGGTCTCTCCTTTATTTACATTGTAAACATTTATTTTGACATTCTAGGGGTTCTACAGTATATTAAGTGATAATCTAGCAGCCTTCTACAGGCAGCTTATGCCCACTGCAATAGCCAGGCTTTGAAGCTTTTTTACCTTCTCATTAGAAGGAAAAAAGAGATTTTGATAAATTGCTTGTAAGTCCAATTGCTTTCAGTTAAGAATTATTTAGCCATGTGTTTCTAATATACTACATCATGTTTTTTTCTTGAGACTTGTGAAAATTTGAGGCTTCTGTTTAATAAGTGAAAACTATGGGATTTCCTTCTTGGTTGGGGCAAGTTCCAAATAGTAGATTCATTCAGATTCATAGAAAGCTGCTAAAATATTAATAAGGATTCCCTAGATAAAATCAAAAGTTGGTACATTTTTCATTATATCAATCATTATACCACACCTGTTAGGGTGGGCTTTTTTTTTTCCTTTCAAAATGTGTAATGTATTTCTCTACACAGATTTCCTTCAAAATATCCTTCCAATTCAACGCATCCTATCTCCTGGAAAATGCTACTATTCATGTATATGCAACAAGGTTAGTTGTGGTCTCTGCCTTCTGATTTGTTTTTTTTTTTGAAAGCGCCACAGTTTTGTGTTCAATAGTAAAACACGAGCGGCTTCTGAACTCACAAGCAGTTACATTTTCTGTATAAGTACAGTTAAATTTTCTGTAGAGCTGGAACCCTTACGGTTGTATTCAGTCCAGAAGTGGATTAAGTGGACTAAATAGTTGATACTCTCTACAGCCTTAGAGTTACAACTGAGTCATAATTTCCGGTTATTTCACCTTCAGCAAAGGTTTAGTCTCCTAGAGAATTACTGCACACTTTAGCATGAATCACAGTTAACAAAAAGCTTGGCCTTCAAAGAGTAAGAGCATTGCAGAAGTTGTCCCTCATAGGGTAAAGGAATGCACTTGCTCTCAGTGTTTGCTGTCCCTACAAAACCCAGAGATGGTGTGGCTTCTAACTGCTCTGTTTTCATTCAGTCACCTGCCATCTGTAATTTTAACAAAGATGCGTCTGTGAGCTGGGGCTGGTGCAGGACTTAAATCATTAGTTCTTGGAAAAGGTATTTTAATTTATTTTTAGAAGACAGTACTTAACTGGAAATGAGTAGTATGCTTTCATACCCAGAGCTGTAGGTATTTTGTTTTCTAAGATCCCTTTCCACTTTCCACCCAGCAGTCTGATCTGAGTGATGTATGTTGTTTCAGTGACAGTGAAGAACCACCTGAGACCCTGAGTGACAACAGAGGACATGTTACAATTCCAGTAAAATATGAAGTAGGATTAATATTTGTAAGGTATTGATACTTCTCTGAACTTTACTTCCTGGCGTAGTAAATTGCAGATATTCAAAGAACATTGTGTTGTTTTGATTTTGATCTGCCCAGTATCTACAGGCACAGCTTCAAAGCTCATAAAGCGGAAGTGCAGGCTTCTCTGAAAAGATAAGTCGTGAATTAGTGGAGCAGTTACTGTCCCTAACTTGATGAAATTCCATTTTATCCATTTAAATTTGATCCGCAGTTTGCAAGTACAACAGCAGGTTTTGCTTGGTTCCTGTATTTTGTTATATTCATTCAAAAGCATTTCAGGAATGAAGGAAGCATAAGAAAGCATGACATAAGAAAGCAAATACTTCCAGCTTCCTGATGGGCATGGATTTGTGTCACTATAGTATTGCATGATGTGGTGTTTGATTTCCATCTTCAAAAATTAGCCTTCATTTTAGATTCTTGGGTGTTTGGTTTTTCTAAGTTCAGATGTATACTTTAATGCAGGTCTTGTACTATAATGCAGATCTTTTGTTTTCAGAAACAGACAGAATTCAGTTAGATTCCATCCATGAAAAGCATTCTGTATATTATTGGGTAACAACATTTTGTGGTGTGCAGATGCAAATAATTAAGCCAAATTTATTTTGCATGTATTTTCAGACTTTGTTTGTCCTATAGGGAATAAGGCTGAATTTAGAATATGCTGGCTTTGTTCTGGTTTTGCTTGATTCTGTCTTTTGCAGGATCCTGCCTGTTTCACATGTCAATGCCCAGGATAAGGGACTGTAACCTGGAATAAGGACAGCAAAAGCAGACCCTAATGTATTAATTTTGGGAACAGTATTTTCTTTTTTAGTAGTTAAATCTGAACAAAGCATTCTAAATGTACATGGTAAAAAGTGGGGCCTATTCAGGGAGCAGAGCAGTTGAATTTCAGTGGATGCAGCAGCGCACTCTAAATTGCAATACCAGTCCTAAAATTCATGAAATAATAAAAAAACCTATATTATTGACTCCTAGGGGTTTTTATGAAGTTTGTGTGCTTACTTTTTTGTGTGTTTTTTTAACCCACAGTGTTTTCAAAGAGCACCATGTTATAATTGCAGCAAATGATACTGTCCCTACTGCTATTAACACAACAGAGCAGATCGGGGATGAAGTTACTCTACATTATAGGGTAAGAAACAATTAAAAATGTATGACATAGGTACTGTCTTATTTTTTTTCCATTTAAATAGCAGGTATACAACACATTAAACCCTCTACATGCATATTTTGTGCTTAAAACCCTTTTTTCCCTTCCTTCCTTTGGAACACAGTGAGTTAGAAGGTCTCGGATGATCTGTCTCCTGCAGGGTAGTTCTGGTGGGTTTTAGACCCTATATCCTCAGCTGGAAAAAGAGACCATGCCCGGGTAAATGAGAACTTGGACTACCCCTGCTGCAAGTTAGAGCAGCCATTTCCAAAATCCTGTCAGGTTTATAATAGGTAAATGCCATGCTCCAAGAATGCAGTCTTCCTGCTTGAATGGATACTGCAAAGTAAAATCACATGCGAAAGATATCCAATGGACTCCACTCTTGTGAGATCCCTGATGGACTACTACATCCAGCTCATCTATGTCCAAAGTAAGGACATGGACCTTCTGAAGTGGGTCCAGAGGAGGCCCTTAAAGATGATCACAGGGTTGGAGCACCACTTCTGTGAGGACAGTCTGGAACAGTCAGGGATATTCAACTTGTAGAAGAGAAGCCTCTGTGGAGACTTCACTGGGGCCTTCCAATACCTAACGGGAGGCTTCAAGAGAGCAGGAGAATTTGTTTTGACAAGGACAGGTAATTATAAGACAACAGGGAATGGCTTTTAACTAAATGCGAGATAAGTTTAGATTGGATATTATGGGGTGAGGCACTGGAGAAGTTGTGGATGCCCCATCCCTAGAAGTGTTCAAGGCCATATTTGAGCAACATCTTCTAGTGGAAGGAAGGTATCCCTACCCATGGCAGGGGCTTGGAACTTCAGATGATCTTTAAGGTCTCTTCCAACCTAAACCAGTCCACAATGCTATGATTCTGTGACAAAAAGTCCAACCTAAAGTTGCAGCAAAACTGAATTGTGTTATCTTGAGAGCATCCTGTTTCCCACTGTCAAATCCAAAACTGATCAAGGGTCCCATATAGAAGCATAGAAGTCTCTAAATCAACTTCCATCTGTAAAAAATGGGATATGATAAAATTCTTGTTCTCACTAAATAGCAATGACAAAGGGGTTTTTTTCCTTTTCTTTTAAGCCACTACAGTGTTTTTTCCCAGTACCTTTTCTCTTTGTCTATTGTGGACGTCTAAGGCATTATTCATCTAATTTGCCAATCTATGTTTTCTGAGTCAAAAAGCTGCTGGATTGCAGAGCATACCATTTTTGATCTTGTAAAGTAAAACTCCTCTTTGCAAGCAGCTAATCACAAATAAGTAGCCAGGACGGCAAAAGTTTAAAAGGTTCTTGAGCATTTATTAAGTTTGTCCACTTCAGAGATGATATCACCAATTCCCCTGCCAGCAATTCCACCTAGGTGGTTACCCAATCCTCCACCATAGCAGGTCTTTCCAGAAAGAGCTGCTGCTTACAGATGTGTCCTCTCAGAGAGAACAGGAGAGAGGAACAGGTGAGCACAAGAGCAATTACCTAAGCGCACCTGAGGAGGAACCAGCAGGAGCCACCACTGATACAATGGCTTCTCTCCCCTATAAAGCACTTTTTGCATAACCAACTGTGGAAATGTAAAAATGAACCGAAGAAAATAAAAACACGGGAAAGGAAAAAAACTCACAAGCAAATTCCAGCAAAATGAGGAAAGTACTAGTCAAAACATTTTTCTTTTTTTGTAGATTGAAAAAGGTGAACACTTTCCAATGCCAAACCTCACACTGCAGATCTTATTTCCCAATGTAACAGCTGCCAAAAACACTCTTCTCTACCTTACTGCATTGTCACATTCTCAGGTAAGATAGGAATTTCTATTTTTATGATAAATTTAAATTTGAAATTTATGTTTAAGGAACTGCAAATTGCAGGCATTTGGGATTACGCATTGCTTTTAGTCTAAATAACAAGATACTGGTTTTTTTAAAAGTATGTGCAGAGGTGCATAAGACAGAGGGACAAATGTTCATAAAAGGAAACAAGCAGATTTAAAATGGTGTTGAACAATAGCTGCACTGTTACAAGCCTAGTTTGTTATATTGCAAGTGCTGAGATGTCCAGACTCAGATGTGAGCCTCATATTCTCTTCGCTGTTGGAAGTGCTTATTGCAAATGCTCGAATCCTGCTGTGTCCATCTAGAGCCCAACCTCCTGACACTTCTCTTCTTTCGGGAACTGAAATTAACTTTCATGCATGTCTGCTCTCCAGCACTAGCCATCCTCTGGCTTCTTCCTTCTCTGGGGCACTGAGACTTCTTGAAGGGGATGGTAGGTCATATGTTTCAAATGCTCTTCACTGCGGCCCTCATTTGAGTTTTTCCATTTCAGTTCTCCAGTGCAACTGGCAGAGATCACAATTCCAACAAATTCCATTATGCTAGAGCTGTAGATTTTATAGCTAGAGAACTACATGGCTGAAAAACCCAGCTTTCACTAAGCAGTGACCTAAACCTTTTCTTTTTTCTTTCACCCAGAGACATATAGGCATGAACCTCCCTGCTAATAATTTCACTTAGTTTTCCGGTGTTGCCCAACTGAAAAATAAACCAAAATATATGAATGAGAGTCACTTTAAAACAAAACAAATATCAAATGAGCAAAAAACTCCCATATTTGGAATACAAATGAAGTTCTGTCTGTTCTTGATTTCCTTTCCCCATTATTGTCATTCCTAGTCAATCACCCCATTTGACACATTTGCACATAAACTCAGTAAATCTTGCTTTTTCTAAGACACAAATTTCATGTCCTGCTAGCTACACCTAGTGATAGTAGAGTGACAAAGTGCATTACAGAGGATTTGTATTCTTTTCATGCTAGCAGTGTGAAAGTCAACGACCTGACTGAAAAAAATCAATTCCCCCACACTGAAGACACCAAAGGCTTTCCTAGCTACCTGTGAAGCAGTCGCAGAGATCCCTCAGTGCTCCAGCATCCACTCCCCCTCCCTGGATATTGCCAGTGAGGATTCTGCATCCTGCACTTAACCTGCCTGTCTGCTTGCTAGGGCAGAACCTCTGTGGTTTCCCATGCAAAAGCTGTTTAGCTCATTTAATAGCCAACTCTTGCTGGTTCACATAATGAAGCTCTTGTTTGCTTGTACAGATGTTTAAGTAGCTGCATAGAGTTTAGGTTAAATTATCTCATAAATATTTCATGTGCTGTTTGAATAATAATACTTCAATACATAGACATCTGAATTTCCTATTCTGCACTCTTGCAATATGCTATTTTATTTTAGTGGCTACTAAACATTATAAATATTATTAAATATTATCAATGTTGACTTGCTTTCAGATAATTTTTTTGTAATAGATTGCATATCCAGACAATAGGAATATTGTTTGTATTTCTGCTTACAGAATGCCATCTGCCAAAGTAGTTACCCTGTAGATCCCTTAAAGATTGGCACTGGGAAACCATTTGTGCTGTCAAAAATAAAGGAACCTACAAGGGATACAATTATGGTAAGTCTATTCATATATACATTCACTGCAGACATGAATCCAGATCTTGGAGCTGAGTACTTCTGAAAAAGATGTATAAAAACTGCTCTGAAACTGTATCATTTGGAAACTGACTTTGTTTTAATAACTTAGAAAATCTTTTCTATGTCAACTAGAGTAAAACTCAATGTGGAACTAAATTTAGATAATTTGTGGTTTAATTTAAAAAATATGTAAATAGCAGTAGCACATTTGACAGCTTAGTAAATCATTACTGTCTATTTTTCCATTGTAATTAATAAATAGAAATATTTTAAATGCTTCTTATGTCCCTTTCAGCTTCTTTAGACATCCAGTAGACCTGGCAGATTTTCCATGCAACTGTAATTGATGATTTCATTTGGAAAGGACTAGCCCTTCACATTTAGCTGAAAGAGCTACAAAGGGATTTTGATGCTGTAGTTATGTTAGCAGGTCAGGGGGAAGGTGTCCTCAGCACAGACATGCAAAGTGGAGTTTCTGGTGCCAATGAAACCATGAGAAGAGTATCTTGCCATGCTTATCATTGTCCTTCACAGAGGTGAAAAAAGTCTAGGCTAAGTGACGGTTTCCAACTTTTTACAACATAATCCTGCTATACTTACAGCTAGGAAGTAAAGCTACTCAAATTTTCACACACACATATTTCCCTGCTTGAGAGATTCAGGTGTCCCAAGATTAGAAAAACACTTCAGAAGAGCCATAACTGTGTTGGTAGAAAAACACTTGCTTTTACAAGCTGTGCCTCCCTTAGGAGTTCTGTGATGACTTTTGCTCCATAGCTGCAGCAACAGAAATTCCTCAGGGCTTGCCATCCTACAAAAACTGAGTCTATTCTAGGGCAGCACAAATATCTCAACCTTTTTTATATATTGCAGTGTCATTTTTACAAAAAAAGCTACAGTAATTAATACCAGTTTATTATTAGTGTCAAAGCAAGTGGTCTGTATATATAGTAGTTTACACGGCTTCATTTTAATGATGTGAAAAGTCTCTTCCTATTTCCTCATGGTGGTCCCTTTTAAATAGGACTGTGATACATACAGCTGTGCCTCTATTAATTGTGCCCTGGTCCCATCTGACATATATCAAGTGAATGTTTCTTTGAGAGTATGGAAACCTACCATCATAAAAGTAAGTAAATCCTGTTTGTATTCAGAAAACTTTTTGGGTTTGAGAAACTTAAGCCAATATTTCTAATGTCTATTAAAATTGTGTCTTTCAATTTCTTAAATGTCTCCTCTAGTATTTGAAGTAGTTTCTTTTGCTATTTTAAAATTTCCTTAAAACTGGGTCTCATGCACTTTCTTACCCCTAAAGTAAGTACTTATAATTTACCATGAGTTTAGAATCATGGTGAGAGGGCACCCCTTACTTATTCTGTATTGATGGTCCTTTTCTAATTGCTACTTATGCATCCACATCTAATCCAGCAGATAGAAGAAGGAGCACATATTTTTTAAGTAAGCCTTACTCTATGAAGATTTCTCAACTCTAGAAAGAATATTTTTGGTTTAAAAAAAACAGGAGAGAGTCATTAGTATTCCAGAATTAATTAATATTCTTTTGAAATCTCTGCTATCTACCCTTTAAAAGTAATATTGCTGTCTTTCAAGCAATAATGTGTGCTGGAGGTGACATACATGAGCAGTTTCACTGACTTTTATGTTTTTCAGCATCCCCCAAAGCATTAGGTTTTTCCTTCACTCCTCTCACTGCTACAAAGCTTTCTACTAAAAATACCTAACTGTAAACCATAGCAACTACTCTCTTCTTTCAGGCCAGTATTCACAGCTTAACCCTTGTTGTGAAAGCATTACTTAGGAGTGAGAACTCATCACTGATTTTGAGAAATGACCATCAAAAACTGGAGGTAAGAATGGGATCATTGATGTATTTGTTCTTCATAGAACTTTTTGTGCTATGGAATCATTCATTTTCATCCATTACTAATGAACTGATCGTTACTTTCAGTAATGCATTATCCTACTCTAAGCAGAAGTGATTTTGTATTGCAGTAGAAATGTGAGAATTAGTCAGAAAATAATACCAAAAGCCCAGTACCCTCCAATGTAGTTAGGCAAGGATAAGTACTATCTGAATTTTTTTCTGCTTGCTATAATATAAATACTTCCTGCAGCTATGTAAATTAAAAATATAATTAAAATTCTTTTCAGGAATCAATAGTGTTTGAAAATTTTTCTGAGTCAATTCAAACTGATCATACTTGGTATTTTCTTTACTATTTCCTTATTTATTCTTTCCTTCTACTTTGTAACCCAGGATATAGATTTGAAACAGGATCTTTTGTTTTTCAGAACTTTGTTATGGTTTTTGTAGATAAGAAAATATATAACATGATAATAGTGGCTTCAGATGTAAAGAGAAATGTGTAAAATTTTGTTAGAGGTATTATTCATCCTTTAACTACTCTCAATTTCAAACATTTATAGTGTTTAAACAATGGTCTTTTATGATAACTTTTACATGGAGGAGCTTATTTACTACAGTGTCCATTTTTTAAGCAGAAATCTGAGTTTTTATTGTTAATATTCCAACATTTAGAAAAGTAATATTCAATGTGAAATACATCTTGCACAAAATATTCTTGAAAATGCAAAAATCAGTGGTCCATTGTTAGCTGGTTTTGTATCTAGAAATTTCTTGTAAGTGACAGATAAAAATTCAGTCCAGGAGTAAAAACACAGCTGAGAGGCTTGCAGATAATGAGAGACAAGAAATTTCAGATTTAACTTTTTCAGGGACATAATTTCATGCTTAGTGTTCAGTTCTTCAATGTTCTTTTTAACTACAAAGTTGGTCTCTAATAAATTCTTTAGCCAATTCAAACTCCTGCATGGTCACATTTATTAAAAAGTGATTACTTGTTTCTGTTGGGTTTACACCAGATATGCCATGTTTAAAATCAAGTTAGTTTCTACACAGACTTTTACACTTAGGCTTACCTCCATCTTTCGGGGAGGCTGGCACTGAGTGAGGAAGAGGGTACTGAAGAAACTCCTTTGCTTATTCTTCCACTGCTCATTATTTCAGTCCTGTGTCCTTTAGCACAATGATCATTGACTTGTAGCAGTGCCACTCTCATAAATGAGTGCACTTATAAAAGTGCAAAGTATTGTGTAAATAATCTCCAGCCTTTCAAGCTGGAGATTATTTTCTTAATTCCCTCCTACTAATTCCTGTTGGTAAAATGAAGTGGTACCCTGGGAAATCACTGCAAATGGATTAATCGCTGCTGCTGTTTTGATATTTTGGAAGGACACATTATTTATTGCTTATGTTCTCAACACTTTGCAGACCATGATCAAGATTTCCAAAGAACACCCACCAGGTACAGTCCCCTTATGGGTTATCCTCCTGAGTATCTTCGCTGGACTCTTGATTCTTGCATTGCTTATATTTGCTCTGTGGAAGGTAAGCTGCACCTCCTTGTCTTCAGGAGCCTGAAAAAACATGCTCAAATTCTCCATCATTTCTTTCTCATAACTAGAACCTCACAGACAATAATTTTATCTAGTTGTAGATAAAGTAGTAATGTGAAATCTTGAAAAAATTACAAAATAACACTGTCTTTTTCTAATGTGGAGTGAGTGGTGCTTCCTGATTCAAACTTATATTGCCATTATGTTAGGGAAAGAAAAAAAAGAATATATTTTAGTATGAGTAAGGGTTTCTTAAGGAATTTTTCTATCAGCTTTGGCTGTGACCTCCGCCAGCTAGGTTTTTTTCTGTTGTGCAAGAGATGCTAGGCCCCGTGGTGTAAGTCTTGCCACAAGTGGGCACTCTTCTCCAGGCTAAATATTTTGCTCAAAATTAAGTTAGAAGGTTACAGCTTAAAAATTTCTACATGCATATTCTCTTGAAAATGTTTACATTATAAAATAAAATATTATTTATTCAACTGATTACTATTAAGCACTTTAATCCTTGACAATATGTGAGCAAAGCAATGATTCAGCACTCTACTATATATTAACGGTACTTAGTTTTTCTATTCCAGGAAAAACAGTGACGTGATTCATTAACTTTGTATAGCAGGGCAAGTATTAAAATAGTAATAAGAACCAACACATGAATGTAGCCCATATGGTTTATATGGTTTGAGCAATTCTTAGTAACTTTTTTTCCTTTTTGCAGGCTGGATTTTTCAAAAGGCCATTAAAGAAGAAAATGGAGAAATAAAAAAAAAAGAAAATAAAAAAAAAACAGAGAAAATTTTGCTCAGGTCTGCCTCCAAAATATTACTGTAAAATTATGAACTTATATGCGGTGGTTACAATGCTTTCCAAATGCTGGTGCATGATAAAAAAACCAAGAAGCAGAAAAACAAGAAGAAAATCAAGAACACATGCAAAGAAATTATGCAAAAAAAGAATTAACAGCCTTGCAGCATTTTTTGATCTTCAAGAATATACCTTTAAGCATTGTTCATTTTTGGAGAATAACTGAGTTGAAAGATTCTAACATTTTTTGAATACGGAAAGTTTGTAATCATATTTTTATATACCTATGTATGTTGAATCATTTTTATTCCAAATTACACAACAGGTCAGCTCATATGTAGCAATCCCAGTCTTTTTTATCACCTTATGATCTTCAAAAGGAAAATGCATACTTTTCAAAATTCTCTCCTAATGTCGGTTCTGTGGAAGCAGATTCTCAATTCACAAGGCAGAACATGTAAACTTTGACAATGCACCAAATCCTCTGTGATAGCTGATGCAATGGCAACTCAGAAGACAGAAACATCTCCAAAATATTGGGTGAAAATTAATGAAATACCATGGATTTCTCTTTCTGCTCATTTTAGCACATCCAGCTGAATGAAGGATACTCCAAGAAAGAGACTTTTATGGTCAAGGACCATAAAGGGTTGATCCATCAAACCACATAACTGTTTAAACTTGAAATATATTTTTGGCAGGCCTAAAAACATGCAAATCATTCAAGCCCATCTGATTGCACACTGTACTCAAATAAGCAGGGGCATAATTTTATCTGCAAATTGAAATGTCCATATTTATGCAGAAAATGTTTAGAGGCATCCTGAAAGTTTGACTCTTGCTGTATATCTTGGAGTAGCCAGCAGGGTGCTTCATAAACTGTCACTGTAAATTTCTTGTGTAGCTATTTAATCCAATGAATTTAAAGTGTACAAAATTAAAATTATCAAAAGAGCACAGATAGGAAATTCAGCACTGGCAAGCTTCTTCTAGTATTATAAGTCACAGCTCATCTTTACTACTTAGGAATTTAAGAAGTGACGAAGAATTTGCATACTAAATAAGCACTTAAAAATGATGTTTATTTTGTGTCAAAGATTAAAAGTTTATATGAGAATACACTGAAATGTAGATAGCAAAAGGTTTCTTTGGGAATTTTTTTTTCTTTCTATTTAGATCATTCAGTTTCTTCCTTTCTTTCATGCACTTGTCTTCCTCCCTTGAGGATCTCTCCTTGAGGCTCATGGCTGTGCCATGACCTTGAGCGCTTCCTGTGTTTCTTGGAGCCACATGAAATTAACAGGAGAAAAAGGATGCATGCTGGCAAACTGTAATGCTGCCTCAGCATGACTCAGTATTGATTGTCAGTAGATCAGAAAATGCTGAGGAGGTGTTCTAAGTTCTGTAAGACATATTTGTTGGCAGAAAAGCTTTGCCTTGCTAAGGAAGCCAGGAAAATTTGTTCCTCCTCTTGGGACAAATAGCACTGAGGGGAAAAAAAAAAAAAAAAAAAAAAAAAAGAAGCAGTTTTCCAAAAGGTTTTTGCTTATCACTGTCTTTATAGTAATAGCTTAAAAAAGAGTAAAAAATTTTACAAACACTTATTTTTCAAGAAGAGAATATAGATTGGGGTGGACATGCTGACAAGTAAAACTCTCAAAGTGTGCCAGAAGGTGTTTCATTGCTTGAAAGGTGTTGTCCCTTTTCAGAACCTTTTATTTAGTTCCTAAGTTAGAGAAAGTGGTTATTGGGAAAGGCTAGTTTATGTGAACACAACAAGTGGGATTGAGTTTGAAAGTGCTGGCAGTTTCTCATGAGTCTGTGGGAAAGGTGGTTATTTCAGAGCAGCAGTCTGCTGAAGGTAGCAGAATGAGTCAGAGGAGAGGGCAGAGCCCTCCGTGGGAACACTGTGGGTGGTTGTGCTTTGCAGAGCCTGGGAGATCTGCTGAGGCAGTGGGACGTGGCTGCTGTGCTCATCTGGACAGCTGGAAGAGCCCCCTGCCTGAAAGGGCTCTGAGCACAGAACACATGAATGGAAGCAAAAAAGTGGCATAGGGGAATTGTGGATAGAAACCCTGCTTCTTTCATTGTGAAAGAAACCAAAAATCTATTTGTTGAACTGTGAAGATAAATTAATATAGCAGTGATTTCAGTTCCATGTAAGATGTAGGTTTTACTTTAGGAAAATGTATTATTTTGCCCATTTTTTGAAAGAATTAAATAGCACCTGTCGTCATAGCATTTGAACACGTTGGCATTGTAATTTTTTTTTTTCACAGAATCTCTGAAAAGGCATAGCAGTGTTGTTAAGCTCTAATAAGTTTGTAAAGGAACACAATTTTGAAGGAATTGTGACTCACCTATGCACACGTAGGAAATCTATGGTAGATGAGGAAATACTTGTATTTATTATTATTCATTCCATTTGTTAACAATGAGGTCATTTTTCCTGGCTTCATGAAATTACTCACAAGTTGTGTAAGACACACGTAATTCTTAGGCAGCGTACTTTTAAGTCTTTCACTATTTAGTTATGATAAGCTGTTAACCAGAGCTTTTCATTTTTCCCGTGACATTTCATATCTTATTTTAAAGCATCAGCCTAACTGAAATATACATGTCAAGAACAGTCTATTTCCCTAGATGAAGACTATGCAAAAATAAATCAATAGTATTTATCAATGTAGAGTATGTTTAAGATCAGTGTTTCATTTTAGACTTTCTTTGCACTGTAAAAACAGTAATAAGCTTTGTATAACCACACTGCTTTTCTCTTTCATGATGCTTTCTCTTTTTTGCACATTTGTCCTATTATCATGTTTTCAATTATAATATCTATTTAAAAGATAAGTATACATACATACATACAAGTATGTCAAGGGGATAGCACTATAGCACATTATTCTTACACGATTCTTAGCCATTAGTAAACCTGTTATTTTATCCATACTAGCCTTTCCACACAGCACTGGAAGAGCAGTATTTTACTGCTTTTCATGATATACAACAGAAAAACCTACTGAAAGCAATATTGCAAGCATCAGGAACATCTCACTTAAATTTGGCAGGCACTAAAGGTACCCAAACCTAATTTTACAGCATGTAACCAGTTTTATTCCTAAAAATAGACACAAGAGGGTTGTAATGTGATTATAATAACTATGAAGATAAATATTTTTTATTGAAGCAAATTTCTGTAAAAATTAATAATAAATTGGGTGTGTAAATAGAAATTAGGCAACTAAAGGATTCTGGCCCACCCAGCTCAGTTCCTAACTTCAGCACTGAAGTAGGTAACTTAATGGAAATGGACATGTTACTTTTCTATAGGGCTGGGATTCTCTGCACTCTCCTGCCTCAATATCAGGTTGTTCTAGAGGTTGCTGATCCCATACATGATTTTAGAAGTCTTAGGAAACAGCATCTCCATTGGAGCAATCTTGAGCAGCTGTTTGTGCTCTGTGGGCAGTTCCTTTGCTTGTCTGGTTTCACTTTAAGTCATTACTGTGAGCCATTACTACAGACACAACCCACATACCCTGACCCCTTACCTGAGCCCTTTAGTACATATCCTGTGCTGAATCATTTTGAGTATTGTGTTCCTCTTCTTCAGAGCTTGAGTCAGGGGAATCCACCCTAAACTGAATCCAAGGGTTTTCATCTCACCTGACATCAAAAGGCTGGAGTTAGGGTCATATTCATCTAATGAATTCTGCATAACCTAATTGGTTAATTTCTTCAATTGCCTGTTGTATAGATGATGACCCATTCAAAAATAGAGGCAGATAAGATAATCAGAATCTACTGCTCTTAACTATACCACTTAACAGGAATAAACGGGGATTTACATACTTTTTAAGAAAACCACAACATTCTGCACAGCATTTCTTTTTCCTGTATAAGTATTCCATGTGCTTTATTGATTAAAAAAGAAATTAAGAGTTTAACAAGTCTCCTGTGTAGTTTGTTTACTTGTTATTGATATAAGAATACTATTAACTCATCTCAGCACCTAAAAACAGATTCATCTGCCTGTCAATAGAAAGGCATTGTAGAAACAAGCACTCTTGCACAGCATAACATCCAGGAAAGCTTGATGCGGTCAAGCTGTCAGAAATACATTGTCATTAGTTTCATGGACTTTGTGCTTATATCCATGTTTGAAAGCTTTTTAGAAGATCATATGACTTCCTGGCATAGAGTTGTTTCCATGACACTAAATAAAAGTTGAAAGACACATTCATTTGTTCATCTAACCATTCTTCCTGTCCAGAGATTCCTCTTACAATTTATTCCTGTAACCCAAATAGTTTATGGTCTTGCATAATTATACATGATTCTCATTAATGTCCTCAGACCTAGTAAATGTTTGTATCAAAACTTCCTAGAAGACAAAGATTATACATTTTATATCACCATTAACTTTTAGAAAACATTACAAAATATGTAATAACTGTTCTCTCATCGAAGACTGCTTTGATGCTGAATCACAGTTCTCTAACAGCAACATCCTGTCTAGTCATGGGGGAGTGCTTACCAAATTAACTACTCTGTATGTATCTGATCATTAAGAGTTTGCTGGACCTTGCCCAATGGGAGCATTTCAATGAAAATCAAGGGGGGGGGGGGGGGATCCATTTCTAGTTTTGGTTGGTTGGTTGGTCTAAATTACTTTTCAGTGGAATTAATGAATAACCAGAATCATTTCCTCACAACAAGAACTGTAATGAGATGTGTGATTTTCACAGAATTGGATTATAATTCATTGTGTTTATCAGAAGCAGGACTTAGCACTTCACAGTTCAGAGATAATATAATTTCATGCAGTGGGTGTGGTTTGAGCCCTGTAACAATAGAGAGTCGTACAGATTAAAGTGCTGATGAAGTTTTAGTAACAAATGGCTGATACCACAATTTAGACAGCACAATTGGATTCTGCTTTAAAAAGTGGGAGATAAAATGAGCTA